CAGGTAGGCAGATCATGTAGAAGATCCTTAATTTCTTTGGGTTTGTTTCCTCTATTCTAAAATAGAAGCGATGTAAGTTCTGTGAAGTAAACCAGGCGTGATGTTTAGCTCAGGGCTGGGTAAATCCTAAATCCTTATTACTAAAAGCGAATGCTTGAGTGCTCATTATGGATCATGCCAGGTCATGTTCTACATGATTCTTACAAGCACCCTTTGAGATAGAAATTCTTATTATTTTATAGAAATGGAAATTGAGGCTTAAGGGAGTTATGCAAATTGTACTAGTTTCACCATTAATTATTGGTGTTGCCGGAACTCAAACCCAGAGTTGGAGGTGAGAGTCTGCGCTCAACAGCTATGTAACAGTTTCTGTTATTATAACCATTAATTAGCACATCTGCAGGCGATCTCGATCTTAAACCATTACTGAACAAAGAGAGCGCTGTTACTGAAGCGTAGCAAAGAAGCTGTGGGCTTAATGAAAGGCAGTGTTGACGTAAAGACTAGAGTGAAGTCCAGTATAAAACCGCTATTCTTCAATGTTTAAAATAGTACTAGAGGGCCTCCCCGGTGGCGCAGCGGTTGAGCGCTGGGTTGCGAAGCAGCCCGCAGCCTCTACAGCGCCGGTTTGATCCCCGGCTGCTCCCCGGCCACCAGAGGAGGGTCCCACATGGCGCGCAGACCTCTCCTGCCGCCCGCTGCTCCCCTCAGCAGTGTACTTCGGTCCTTCTGCCTGCTCTGTTCTCTCCTCTGGCTCTGGTGAATTCTCTCACCCTCCCACGCTTCTGACTGTACCCAGTGCTTGTATAAACAAACAAACAAATAAAATAAAATAAATCTTAAAAAAAATAGTACTAGACCTTGTCCACGCATTACAAAACCCATTGTCCAAAGCCATCTGCTGATGTTTTCCTGTGCCTGAGCACTCTCCCTTATTGCTTTGGGTCTCCTAGTCCCCTCAGGTAACCAGGAGCAGGTATTCATTCTTAATGAATGATGACAAAACCAAGGCTTAGGTTGTTGACAGGGTTCCTTAGGTCTAAGTTGTTAATTACTCTTAAGAAAGATCACTGCAGTTTCTTGAGCAATTACTATGTGCTAGGCACATTGTTGTGCTCAATGTGTGTTTACATAACTTAGCAATCACCTTATTTTGTCCATTTTGTAGATGAACAAATCTAGGCCTACATGGGTTAAATAAAGGGTCCAAAGGCAAACAGTTAGTACCCCCAAGCATTGTCCCTAAGTGTGTCTTGGTGATGGGGCTCATGGTTGGCCAAAGGGAATGGCCCTGGAGAACATGGGGAGCCTGCTTTGTTCAGTGGGCCTGGGAGATTTAGGATGTGGGAGACACACTCACCTTCAGAAGGTTACAGGCAGTGGGATGTCGAGGCAAACAGCGTGGGGCTTGAAGTGGGACTGTCCTGGGTAAGCCCAGCTCTGCTGCTCTTTGGCTGAGTGGTCAGGCATGTTTCATTAGGTCCTGAGCTGTGGTTTCCTCCCCTGTACAGTGGTGTGGACACAGTGATCTGGCTTGGAGGGCTGGCATGAGGAATGAAGTTAATACGTAGCATTCACTCTAAAGACCCCTGCTGTTCAACTGAGGTGCAGAAGCACAGGCCCAGCTTGCAGAGCTAGCCGCCACTTGAAGAGTGTCACATGTGATGTTCAACCATAGGCATGTAAGGAATTTACTGGGCAGGTTGGGCTGGGCCCATCAAGACAGGCTCAGAGAGAGTATGAACTTGGGCATGTCTTTCATTTAGGGCAAATGGAGCCCATGGGAAATTCACACGGGTAACTCCAAAGAGCTGATGGAGGACATTTCAAATAGTCAACACCGCCAGTCCCTCCTTTCCTTGGGGCGCAATCTTTCAGCTCTCCACCTCCTTGAAGAGTTGGCCACTGTACAAAAGGAATGGCAAAGCTGTAGTGGTGGGAGAGGGCATGGTGTGTTCAGGGGAGTTGCAGGATTTTGGAAGAGCAGGAGGGCAAGATTCAAAGATTCTTGCTGGAAGGCAGGAGGTGTTTTATGGGAGAAATCTAGCACTGGGCAAGGCAAAGGCTGGTCGTAAAGGGCCTTGAATTCCCCAGGCCCATGTGCTCTGCTGTGTGTGTGGTTACTCAAGTGATGCTGGAAGTCAGTGTTTCAGTGAAATGGCAATCAGCAGTGGCAAATGCCACTGCGGACTCAGGGTAGACCTGAAGACCCACACTGGCCGTGGTCATGACAGGGATCTGGTGTGGGTGGAGGCAGAGTGAGCACAACGCAGGCCTCAGTCGGGGCCTCCTGTTTCCCACAGTAGTGGACACAACATGCCAACTGCCTGGAGGAAAAACCTGTTTTCTGTTTCCAGTGAGGGGGGTCACATGAAACTAGTGCAGGGAGCCCTTGGACAGGCATAATGGGTGCATGTGCCTCCCCCATATGTTGCAATCCTATCTCTTAAGGAATTGGGATTAAGAGGTGGGATCTTTGCGGGGTGATTACACCATGAGGGGGCACCCCCATGAAAGAATTAGTGCCCTTCTAAGAAGAGACGTGAGACCTTACTTCCTTCGTCTCTGCTGTCCACTGTGAGGAGCAGGAAGATGGCTCTGTACAAGCCTTCACCAGACACGGCTCTGCCAACACCTTCACCTTGGTCTTCCCAGCCTCCAGAACTGTGAGGAATAAACGTGTGTTCTGTGCAAGCCACGCAGCCCGCAGAGCACTGCTACAGCAGCCGAATCGACTAAGACGCAGCGTGGACACAGGGTAAGGAGAACAAGGGTTATGGTCAGAGTGGGCCACCTTGAATATAAATAGATCTATGAATTTTCTGACAAGCCCAATATCTTGGAGTAAAATAACAATAAAAATCTAGATTTTCCACACGTAGAGTTTGCTAACAAGAGCGAGGTCGAAGATCTGAAAGGTGCTTCTCTCTGGTTAGGCCTAGCATCTTAGTGGAACGGCTGCACTCACAGCTGCTTTGAAACGCCTGGCCACCAATCTCCTCATCCCCAGCCTTGTTCCAGTGACCCGGCCTGGCCCTGCAGTGTCACAAGTCTGTTAAGCCCGCCCAGGGCAACAGCCCTATGCATATTTCATCTGCAGACTTGGTCGCTATGGTCTGGATGACCGGAGCAACAATCCCAGATTCACCCGCGCTATAAGCCACCTTGCCCCTTCTAAGTGACCTCCCTACGAGTTAAAAATGCACTCGCAAGGCATAGCTTCGATTCTGGTTTTGTTTTGGCTGTGGGAAGCCCGGCTGCTCTTTTTCCTAACAGGATAGACTCCTAAAGGGAGCAGGCACCAAGAAAGGCAAAACGGTGTGAAGGCATTGACGAATAAAGCACACACTTTATTCACGGAGTTGTGAGTACAGGGGACGCGGCACAGCGAGAGGCACAGGGTGCTGCTGGCAGCAGGGCATGAGCAGGGGCTGAGGGTCAAGCACAGCCAGCGGGCCAGCCGGCCACCCCGACTCTGCGTACCGGCACGGCACTCGGGGTGCAGAAGGACACCTGCTCACTTGCACGGGGGATACGACACATCTTTGAAATTCCAGCTCTCTCACCTATTTGCTTCCATAGTTCTTAGAGGGGGAGAAGGCCAGGAAGAACTGGGATTCCTTTCCACACTTGAAAAAAATTCCATAAACCCAACTTGAAATGAAAGAACCGCGAGAGCTTTGCTGCAGGATTGCTGGCAACGCACAGAAACCACACATATTTATTACTGGACGGGTCTACACATAAAACCCCCAAAAGAACATCCATTTTGCGGACAGTCGTTTTCTCCTCCACAGGGTAAAGAAACATCTGCGTGGACAATGGTAAGTGGCTCGTCATGTTCTGGATCTTGGTGTACAGCGCTGATACACACCGGCTCCTTCCAGCTGTGGCGGGCGGGTTCAGGAAGTGATTCGTGGGGTCTTCGGTCCAGAGAGACACTCGGGAAGAATTTCATTTAGTGATAATTGTCGCCACTCCATCACACCAAGCTTCGGAAAATGTTGCATTTCTTCAGTTTTGCTGTGCACACATGACTGCTTAGTTTCTTTCAGTTTAAACTGACCAGCTCCCCCCACCCCACCCCACCCCCAGTTTCCATACATTACACTTGCCCAGATAAGAACATAAACATCCATTTGCAAAGCACATCAGTCACCAACCCCCACTGCTTCCTGGGCCACGAATGGAAAGACAGTAATTTTTTTGTTTTAAAGTCAAAGTTTTTCTTTCATTACAACATACTTGGGATGTTCCCTTAATGTACATCGTCACCAAAACGGGGTGTCGCTGCAAATCTCAAGCAAGAAATCACCTCTTTTTCTGGAGTGAATATTCTTCCAAAGGGAGCACTCATAAGTGAATTTTAGGGTATACTGACAAACACTGGGTTTGTCAAAAGAAAATGATCTTAATAATGAACTAAAATCAGGCTGGCCTAGGAAGTAGATTACACTGTGGCCAGGGACAGATGCGAGCTGGTTCTGAGGACAGGGGAGGGCTGATGGCAGGGAATATTTCCCTTCACCGCCCTTCCTGACACGGGGGGTGGGGGTGGGTTGAGGGGTGGGCCCTGGGGGCCCACAGTTGTGGGGTTGCCTGTCCCTTCAAACGGAGAGAACACTCACACCAAGTTAGCTTGAAAGAGTTTCTAGAAAGACTGTACTAGTCAAAAATGGTTGAGATTTAAAACTTGCAAAAGCGAATATATTTTTCTATAATCATCTGAGAAGCAATTCTTTAGAAAAAGGTGTTTGCCTCAAAGTGTAAAGAAATTAGGAGAAAGTGGGCCTCCCCGGTGGCGCAGCGGTTGAGCGCTGGGTTGAGAAGCTGCCCGCGGCCTCTGTGGCGTCGGTTCGATCCCCGGCTGCTCCCCGGCCTCCGGAGGAGGGTCCCACATGGCGCGCAGACCTCTCCTGCCGCCCGCTGCTCCCCTCAGCAGTGTACTTTGGTCCTTCTGCCTGCTCTGCTCCCCGCTCTGGCTCTGGTGAATTCTCTCACCCTCCCGCGCTTCTGACTGTACCCAGTGCATGTATAAACAAAACAAACAAACAAACCAGCAAACAAATAAATAAAGCATGCCTCTATAAAAAAAAAAAAAAAAAAAAAAGAAATTAGGAGAAAGTGTTATAAACATTTTCCAGCGAGACTTCTCCAAGTGGCTTAACAAGACAGAAGAAGAAGACAAGAGTTGGTGAGAAGAGTTGCTCTGGTCTCCCCTGGGAAGAGGAGGTGGCCACAGAATGAAGAGAACAGGGAGAACGTGGAGACCAGGGGGCAGGACAGATAAAAACAACCTTTTTGTACTTTATCACCCATGAAACTAGCTTTTCTGTCCAAGGTTGTCAAGACCAGCAGTTTACCTTTAGGGCGTGAACAGGTCACGTGAGAACATCTCACTCATGGTTGTGTATCTGTCTAAATGCTCGTGGTCTCATTCTAAATCACACAGGAATACCACATGGTATCTTGGTTTTTCTGGAAGAAAAGTGTTTGAAGGAAGCACTGCCTTTCCTACTGTTGCAGGGGCCTTTTCACTTAATGCAATCATCGACTCACAAGTAACCCGACATCAGAGTGTAGCCCTGGATACGTGTACCAGGAGGCTTGCCGGGGATGCACCTCCTTGCCTAGCATGAACTATTGCTGTTAATTTGGTTGCGTGAATAACTAGGATTGTTACATGGAGTGCTGGGTGGGGCCCATGCAGAGAACATTCATCTCCTGGTAAATTTGGGGGATGAGGGTGCTGAGCCCCAATTAACCAAATGGACAGGATGCTGTAGCCCAAACACTGGATCTGGCAGTGAGGAGAGTCAGGTGGTCTGTGGCCCATCCTTCTGCTGGGGCGTGGAGTTGGGGCACCGAGTCAGCATGATGGGTTCCGAGTCCCGTCACCAGAGCTAGCACAGGATTGTCTGCTTGCAGACAGAAGGCAACTGACAGTTCTGACAATGTATTTTTACACAGTGTCATTCAAATTAGTTCATACACTTGACATACACTTGATATGCAAAGAAGCCACCTCCCTCCCCAAGTTGGATGCTAAACTGAATTTAGAAGATACAAGAAAAAATAGAGTTTCATTAGTGGGAGATTTCGGGTTCAGTTCTTTAGCAATTATTGCAATTCTTCTTACACTGACAATTGATCTACAGGAGCTTGGGTCAACATTCATTAATCAAGGAAAACCACTGGTTGTGTCCATAGGGAAAAAACAAAATCTCAGCCAGCTGAACACTAAAACCCAAATTGGGCCATTCTGGTTTTGGACTGTGGCAGGAGACACGGGTTCAAACTGTGTCCCACCCCACACACTTCACCAAGAGTGCAAGGACAGTGGTGCCGTGCTGGGGCTGTGGATGCAGGAGAGGTCAGGGGAAGACAGGAGGGCGGGAACAAGGTGAAGCAAGATGTAACTGATGGACACGGGTCAACACACACACACACACACACACACACAGAGTGAGAACAGTCCTCAGTCAGTAGGTAGCACTGAAAGGACAGGAGGACTCAGACTCCTCAGGGAAGAGCACAGGGCAAGACTATGGGGCGATCACAGGCATTACTGGTTAGTAAATGGGTCTCGAGTTAGACGTCTGCAGAAACAATTCCGCCTGCTTTTCCCTTGGTGTCAGATACCAACAATCTTAATACTTGGTGCCAGCAGGAAGAATTTCTGAGCTTTTATTATCAGTAGCATAGGCAGTTCAGATGCTTTCTCCTGTGGCTTTCAAAGAAGGTTTCTATTCCTAAGTGGAGTCTCATGGGTGGGGTCCCTCAGCGGACCACATCTCGTCTGAGAGGCTGGCAGGAATTGCCATGTGGTCTTAAATCCTCATGGGGGGAGGCGGGTGTGGGTGTGTGGTGTGAAGCCTTGGGCTCTGGAGTGAATCTTGTGGGGCTCAGTTTGTAAACTTGGTGAGATGAGTTGTGTTTCACTCCCAGCCTGATGCCAGGTCTGGGGTTTTCAGCTTGATGCTGATTTAGGGTAGGTGAATTGTCGAAGGTGCTGGCTTCTTCCTAACACCCTTCCAAATGAGCACGTGGTTTGGGGGTACAGTCTGGCTTCACCCTTGACCTGAGACACACACCTTTGGAAATGTCCTTGGAAGCTGCAGCACAGGGGGACAGAATTGAAATTAAAGAACAGACTTAGAAAAATACCCTGGGTGAGAATGTATACAAACACAAACACACACATGCATGCACGCACGCACGCACGCACGTCAAGAAGACCACAGTGCCAGGCAAGAAGGAAAGCTGAAAAGGCCAAATTCATTTTGAGGCAATTCACCTTGGAGATGCAGAGACTTTAAAGAGAAAAGCATGCTTTCCTTAGCCTATCACCAAAAAGACCTTGAAAATAAACCCAAGTTGGCACGAGCCTGGTGGGGCTCGGGGCTGCCAGACAGAGCGGAGGATGCGAGTGGAAGAACTTGCACTAGAAGGATATGGAACTTTTTCCTCCCTCAGAGTGCTCTGGTCCTGGGCAAAGGTCATCGAACAGCACGGACTGGGCCAGCCTAAGACAATCTCCCCACTTTCCTTTTTTTACAAAGGGAGCCCAAGATGGCTCCTGTCTTTGGTGGGGAGAAAGAACCAAGCACACTGTCTGAAGCAGAGAAAGAGCTAAGGAGGTGGGGGTGGTTTCTGTTCATTTCCCTTCTCTCTGTCTTTCAAAAAAAATTTTTTTTAATATTAGCTAAGTAATTTGCCAACCAGGTCCTATCAAATGACTGGAAACTAGGAGCTTGTGAAAAATTACTCTGGCTGCTCTTCAGCCCAATCGAGCAAAGCTGCTGGGGTCCCCGACTTGTTTCCATCCTGGGGGCGCTTGGGCCGAGCGGCGTGAGGCCGGGAGAGAAAGGCGTGCGCAAGACTGCTGCCACATGGACGCGGCCCTCAGGCTCTTGCTTCTCAGCCACAGTGCTACATGGTAAGTGCTCAGACTTTGGAATCGTGACAACTGCGTTTTTCCATGCGGCATCCTAAGGGCACTTGCTGGCTCTGATCCATACAGTTAGCACTATGCTTGGACAACAGTGAAAGGAAAACCAAAGAAGTAGCTCCTGCTGTGGACATAAGGTGATGTAAAAAGGTCACGTGTGAACACTACTGTCCAGTGTGGGAACATAGAAATTTCTACCCCATTGCTTCTTGGCAGGTGTTGCCCATTGCTTGGCCTGATATTTGGCTCATGGGTGTTTTAATGAGATTTTCCCTTTTTTTTCATTGCTGCAGGACAATAGTCTGCAAATTCTCCAATCAACTTTGGGATTTAATACAACATCCTATGTGTCACTGCCATTGTCAGTCCTTTTTCTAATTGCTGACTATGTGCGGGATTTAGAAGAGTTTCGCTCTTTTCTTCATGTCGTTGCGTCTCCAGAGAGGTAACTTGTCAAATTCCTGTATGGACATTCCAAAGATTTCCCGAAAAACTTCTGGGGCTAAGTGGCGCTGTGATGGGAAAAAAGAACAGTGATCAGTTCTGATGGCCACACAGATGAGTTATTCTCCAGGTTATGCATAATAATGCGGAAGACTAAGCCTGAGTCGTGGAAGAGAAGTTTACCTCTGAGGTTTACTTAAAGGCTCTGTACCAGAAGGTTCCTTTCCTGGGCAGGCCAAGTGAGGCAACCCCCCTCATCAACAAAAGAGGTGGTGTATTAACAATTATTAGAATAACGCTGAATGGCAAAGGGACAGAGGACGTGAGCAACTATGCTGGAGGTGACTCCACTTCCTTGCGATGTTGAGAAGATGCAGGGAAAATGGGCCAAGGCAATAAGAAAGCCAGAGACTTCAGAGCAGTGCTCAGGGAGTCCTGGCACTTGGGCCTGGTTCAGCAACAGGAGTTCCAAAGGATGACTGTCTGCTGAAGAGAACGTCCATCTGCCGTTCCTCCCAGAAAAGTTCCCTTAGGATATTAGATCCTTTGTTTTCTCTACGGGGCTGACCTCACTAAGGTGCTGCCTTTTGTCAGGGAAAAGGAATGATGCTTTATGAAACTGGCAGCCAGAGTTTTTCTTAATTAAATCATTCAGATGGAAAAGTACAAAGATCAGTGTTCCGTGTCTGGGGAGGCCTTAGACAGAGATAACCCTTCCACCAGGAATGCGGAAACAGCCAAGAGGGAGACGTGTCCAATGCAGGGTCTCCCGCTCCTTTTTCTTGAGCTCAACCCAGGTTCATGGGAAAGAGGAAGATCTAGGGGGTCTCTGGAGAGGGTGGGAGATTCCATTCTCCATCACTAACCACAATGATGGCGACACCAACTTTCCAAGGAGAATTACTGTAGTCATCCTATGTCCCCCGAATGGTACATTTCTCCACACAGCCTCAAGCTCAACTCTAAAGTGTAAATTTGGGCTTTTCTCCCAAGTTACCTCTTAGCTCTCCCCACAACATGAGCTGGGCCCTTTTTATATTTTGCTTTTATGAGATATTTTTTAGGGGCGTGGTGGGGGAAATGCACAGGGACTTGCAGTTGGGATTGGATTTTTTTTTACCTCCAGCCTGGTTCTGTCCACATCTCTTAGGATCTTGTTGCGCCCTCTGTTGGTCACCATGAGCATTTCATATGGAAATACCTAAGAAGGAAACAAGAACACCTCTTCTGGAACAGTGCAATTTCCCTAACACCCACCACTCCTCAGTTAGAGTAGCTGAGACAGTGTAATCGAAGCATCTGAGAGATGGGGGTTTCCGGTGGACCGGACAGCACGCACGGCAGGGGCCAAGTTAATACGAGGTCAGAGGAGAGACAGGCTGCTGATACACTGAACACAGCCCCACAGCCAGGGAGGTGCAGCCTGCTGACCTGGTGTGACAAAACCCGCAGCCAGCAAGGCGCTTTATGGTGTGGCTTGTGTAATGGGCCCACCTAGAGCCAAGTGGGCCTTGTCAGTCTGAGCATGGCGAAGAGAGAGAGAACTTCATTTCCTCAGGGCCATGTGCCAGTTTGCCTTCCCCGAACAGGAGGAAAGACAAGAGCTGCACTTGCCTTTGGTTCCAACATGTTGGGCATAGACACGCCCCTGTCCATTCTCATTCCTGGCAGGTGGCCATCGGGGAGGGTCTGCAACAGAAAAGCTGGTTCAGGAAGGAGGACCTGACAGTAGGGAGGGGCTGGGGGATGCTATGGGCTCCACACTTCCCTGTTGGGAGCTCATTTACCAGATGATTCTCTGAACTACCATGGAGTTTTCAACCTGAGCTCCTTGCTGAATAAGAGCCAAAAAGACCAATCTTTTATAATCAAATTGGGAGAAGATCCTGGCTTAATAGCTATTGATCCATCCCTGGATTTAGTGTCCATGTATGAAACTCTAGGTACATACAAACAAAATAATCCAAAACAATCCTGCCAGGTCTTTGATGGCTATTTTCTTATTTACATCCTAGCTTACTTCATGTTTCCTTCCTTTCTCTGCCATTGTATTTGTATCAGGTCTAGGTGATGAGGAAAAGGGAATATACCACGGTAATCACCAAGATGGAAGTTTCTTTTCACCTGGGACCCAGTGAAGGCGGGGAGGCCCTAAATCACTGAGTGGTTATAACTAGAAGATAAACTGTACACGGGTAGACCCCAGATGCTGCTTGACTTCCAGCCAGAGGAGACCCCCCAAGGTCAGAGAAGTGTCCTGGACACCTGGCCTAGCCCCCCACGTCCCCTGCCCCTGAGGGACAGCGTGAGCCGGCATTGGGGGTGGCTCCTCAGGACTGTGTACTAATGACTTGATCAACCAAAGTAAATATCTTCTCCACCAAAACCCTTTCCTGAAGCAGCAACAAGAGTCTGGAGTGAAAAATGGTGGTTCTGCTGGTAGGGCCAACTGGAGCAAGACAGCGTTCCATACCTGGTAGTCTGGCAAGAAAAGAGAAGAAAGAAGGCATCAGGGAAAGACAAAAAAAAAAAAAACACAAAAAATGATAGTCACGTCATAGAGACAGTATCTACTACAATTGCCCAAAATCTCCCCACTGGACAGCAGTCTCTCCCTGTCTCTGCACACATTGTCCCCCTCCTGTCTATCAGCAAATGCTGCTTGGTGTTAGTTATCAGTTAAAACAGGCTTTGAAAGTGGAAGTTTCTCCTGACACCCAGAAGACTCCTTGTTTCTCTCTATATCTCCATGAAAGCATTTCTCACATAGAGCTTCTCTCTCTCTCTCTCTCTCTCTCTCTCTCTCTCTCTCACACACACACACACACACACACACACAATCAGCTATACACATCTTGAGGCACCATGTCAGCTTGCTGTTCCTCTGGTATCTGACACTCAGCGCACAGTAGGAGTTGGGATTCTTTCTTACAAACTCATGTCTCGTGGCTTGATTTCAGAAGAGATACTGTGAGATTTTAATCAATGCTCTATTAGCACACAGCTGCGATCCTACTTTGGACGTGACATTGCGTGACCCTCAGCCTCAGCCAAGGCGGCGACATGTGGTCGCAGAAGCCTCACCTCGCACGCCCCCGCTGACGTCCCCGTAGCTGTTGTACTGAGCAAAGTCTGTAGAAACAGGCTGAAAGGCGGAAAGACACGTTATTTAAAATCTGCTCCACAGTGATTATTTTAGAGGCCCATGGGAAGGAAGAAAAGAATTACAAAATGTGAAGAAATCTTTCCAAGCTGAATTCCTAGACCCTCATTATATTTTGTTCCTCTTTCTTCTGCTATGAAATCTCTTTGTCTTTTTTAGCATAGCCAGGGCCACTGCCCAGCAGGCCCGTGGTAAGCAAGCATCTCTTGCTAATAAGTAAAAATACATTTTCACACATAGTTACACAATTCCATTTGTTTTAGGCTTTGTGAACAAGACAGTCACAAGAAATTCATTATATCATTTTATAATAGAGATAATGGTTCAAGTAATTGCTATTTTCTTGATTGTAGAAATATCTGCCACACAATTACTTAATCTAGTCTCCCATAAGCTTATACAGACTGTCCTCTGATGTAAAGTCAATTTCTCCCGCTCTCAATAGAACTATTTTATTTTGCCTGTAACTCAAAGTGATTTACCAGATCAGGGAGGTTACAATTTTTATTAAATTTGGAACTGAGATCATATTGTTAGACTTATTCAGATAATATGTCAGCCTTCCCACAGGGTGGGAGACAGAAAGGACACAGAAATAATTAATGGCGGGGCCTCCCTGGTGGTGCAAGGGGTTAACACCAACCTATGAAGCTATCTGCAGCCACTGTAGCATGAGTTCGATCCCTGGCCAGGGAGCTACCCACATGGCGCAGCAGACCTCTCCTGACTGGCCCGCTGCTCCCCTCAGTAGCGCATTTCGGTCAATCTGCCTGTTCTGTTCCCCACTCTGTCTCTGGTGAATCCTCTTAACCTCCCACCTCTGGCCTGTACCCCAGTTCTTGTGTGCATAAATAAAAATAAATCTTTATTTTTTTTTAAAAAAAAGAAATAATTAATGGTGAAATCTCACCCGGTGAAGTCCATTTCTTCCATAGCCTGGGAGAGATGCGGTTTTAGATGATAGAACATGTGACGCTAAGTGGGAAAAGAAAGTTAAAAAGCAATTGTTAGGAAATCAGAAATCTAATTCTGTAATAGAATTGACAGTGTATCATCTACTTTGCAGAAAGATGATTTAAAAACGATAATCCAACTAAGGATGGACTCAAGTGTTTCTATAATGCTACCATGCTTGGGTCACGCAAGGATGTTTTCTTTAACTATCTGATTTCTGCAAGTTTTATTTGCAATAGCCAAAACTGGAAATAATGAAAATATCCATAAACAAATGAATGAATACTGGTCAATCCAAAGAACATACTTTTCCCATGATACAAGGTAACTTTTCCCAAGGTAATGCTCATATAAACATCTCTGATGAATTTCAAAATAAATGAGACACAAGGTCACCCTTTAAGTCATAAAGAAAAAACTTTATGACTTAAATCATATAAAAATTCTCAAAATGTAGATCTGTTATAACGGAAAGCTAACTAGAGGGTGCTGGAGGACTGGAGAGGGAATAGGTTGCAATGATATCACCTAGGAAGGTGGGAAGGAAGTGTAGACAGTTAGCTGGGACTGGAACTAGCTGTGCTATATCTGTCCTGTATCTGAGAGCTCTAGCTCTTTGAATCCTTAATATAAATTTAATAACACTACTGTTATTTCCATTTTACAGAAGAAATAGGAGCTAAGAGAAATAAAATATCTTGCCACAGGACACTTATCTTGTAAACAGGTGAGCAACTATTTGCACCCAAGGCTATCTGAATGCATGCCCCAGTTGGGTGACAGTGACAACTGACCGAGACGCCAGCCATGCAAGCTATCCTGATCTACTGGTCAGTGCCCGGGAGGTCTGGTATGGACACACTGGCAACAGCATGGGTGCCTCAGAAGGTGCTGGGTTTTGAAGAGAGCAGACCGGGCTTGAATTCTGCAACTTAACACCTCTGCATCTTGGACATGATATTTCATCTTCTTATGTCTTTATTTCTTGATTGATGAGGGCATAGAGCTACATATTCTTACAAAATGGGAGTATATAATTCGAAGGTACTCAAAAGAGTAGTAAGCCACCTACTCCAATGTCAAAGCCAGGGGGGCATCTATGGCAAGGCATTGCAGCTAAGAGTGTGGACTCTGGATTATAATACTAAGAGTGGGAAATCCTAGTTTTGCTACTTATTATTCTACTTGCTTCCTGATTTATAAAATGGGGATAATAATATCATCATCTACATCATTGGCATGTTATAAAGATTAATGAAATAATGTTTGGCAGAAGTATTTGCATATAATGAAACTAAACAAATTCTTAAAGGAACCCTTAGGAGAGAAAATTAGGTACTAGTTTAGAACACGGGAGAAGAAATCTAGTGGGTAAAGAGAGAATAGGCTTATGATAAATATGAACAGGGGAAAATATACTGACAGATTATTTCAGTCCTGTATCTCAGCAGTTTCCTTCAGAAGCATCAAAACACCTCTTGAACTGAATATATAAATGGAAAATTATAATGCTTAGAAAATGTTCATGCTCTCTGTAGTCAAAGTATCCTGTTCTCTATCTGGGTTTCCCTTCTGCTGCTTCTCTCTGAGATGAATATTCTAGATGGTAGACCAAGCACATGGGAACTAACCCTTCATGGTTCTTGACACCCCCCAATGGGAAATTGGAAAATTTCCAATTTCTAGTGGGAAAGAAATAAATTTAAGGAAGAACCATAACATGATTTTAAGTTAAGCTGACAGGACGTGGATTCTCACACTTCCTTCCTGCAGAACACTCCGAAGGTTCACCAGAAATGGTCTTTCTTGGGACAGCCTGTCTGCACAGACTCCTCACTGCAGCCGCCAGCACTCGGCTGGAGACAGCAATGGGCCTGCTGCTCACCCGAGTTGATGGGAGAATCGTAGCGACCAGCGGACAGGGACGACCTCTCCCGGCTCTCCTTCTCTTTCTCCATTTCTTCTTTCAGTATCAACTGCCCCAGGCCTGAATTGAGCTGTTCACAGAGAAAAGAAAAATGAAAGTGAAGGCTGCCAGTACTCTCAGGAACTCCAGTTTCTTCTTAGACCATTCTACAAGCAGCGCCTGGCTCTGGAGGAGCCTGGGTGCGGTAGCTCCAGGGCCTGGCGGTTCCTCAGGAGACAGACCAGGCTTTGGAGAACCTCTCTTCACTGTGTCAATAGCAAGGCTCCACCTCCCTAAGCTGCTCCATGTCAGAAGGATGTGTTACCCCCGCTTCCCCAGAGTGTGAGCAGGACGGAGGTGAGTGTGTGCAGACTTTCCATGTGGTCAGGGAGACTGAGACTGGTATGCTTTAAAAAGAAATCATGCTGATTTGTTTAAAAACAAGGAAGAAAGTCATACATGCTCATTATACAGATTTTATAAAATCCAGAAGGAAAGAAGATTAACTTATAATCCACTACTCAGAGATAACCTCCATGTACATTTTGATTTCTGTCTAGCCAGTGTTTTTCTGTGCAAATACTGTACAAAACCAGGATCAGACAGTGAATGCACCTTCGTCTCCTTCCCCCACATAACTAGTGTCATGTGCATTTCCCATCTGATTAAGTATCTTTGGAAAATGTCACTTGAGGGGCTTCACTAGCCCCTTATTGGTAGGAGAGTTGATACTTTCCTTGTTCTCCCTAAGCCAGGTTGGAACTGGCTCTTTTTGGCCCTCTGGGAAGCTGCGGGTGGGCTAGTGTGGAGGGTATAGTGAGGGTTTCTTGGTGGCCATTCATTTTATTCCCTCTCCTGTTGTGGATACATACAAGGTCCCACAGACCCTGAGGGAAGACTTGGGGAAATGCTTAATCTCAAGGGAATTCTTTCAGGAGAGTGTGTATGAGGGAAGGCAGGGTGGCTCCCCTTGGCTATATAACACTCTCTCTCTCTCTCTCTCTCTCTCTCTCTCTTCTCAAAAGCCCAAACATTCTCAGTCCCTGTGACATGCAGCCTCCAGGTCACCTCTTCCAGAACCTACTAAATACTCTGGCCCCATTACTGTCACCAGCTGCCTGTCTTGTCTCGCCTGTCAGGCTGCAAGCCCTGTGGGCTGGGACCAGCTCCTGCTCACCCAAAATAGTGATTGAAAAAGCAGGGATTAAAAGGTACTGAATGGAAAACTGCAGCAAAGTAGTTTAAGGACAAACCTTCATTAATTGCTCTTCTTGAAGCTGCCGGCGTCTCAGAAGTTCCTCATCATCTTCCTCTCTGCCACTAGATCTGCGCCTCATGTCAGCTCCTAATTCCACAGCAAAGACAACTTCTCACATTAGCCCCATGGCAAGGGGACCTTAAGGGATTAGTCCGCCTGTGCTCAACTCGTCAGCCTGCCTACACCAGTTCAGCACTACCGGCGGGTTTCTCATGAAAGCGGTTCTGTGTGACAAGCCAGTTCAATGTGGGGTCCGGTAAGGCAAGAATGTGGGCCTCCCAGTTCACTCTGCTCAGTGAGAACTTGGTTTGCCATTGCGACTGGTCTGAGTCATCTCTGTGCCACTGGTCAGAACTCTTCATAGTAGGTGGGGAGGGAACCAACAGTTATTATTTTGATGTTCCTGAGGTCAATTTTCAAGTAGAGAGGAATCCAAATTCATCCAGCTACCATCAAATAAGTAAGACATTCACTTGTGACAAATTTTAAAATCTTGTACTTTTTTCCTAATATATTCAGACTGGTCGTACTCTCACCCTGTGTTCTACCTTCCTAAATTCATTAATAACTATGCTTTTTCTTTTTTAAGGGATGGGGCTTAATGTTTTCTTTTCCTCACCCTTTATAAATGGTCCTGAGAGTGCTTTATAATGACAGGTCAACAAAAACAAGGTTAATGCATCTAAAATGTTTATTTTAGTGCATTGAGGCTAACCATGTGCAATTTTAGAGATTCTTAGAAAAGAGGAAAAGGGGAGTAGAAAGGAATCTGAGTGGTTGAAAATTAAGATAATTATTGTTTTTCCTAAATTGCTTGGATTAATCTGGCTGTGGGAAGAAACAGGAAAGCTTGCTAATCTAATCCAAATAAACTTTAATAGCCTCAGTTTTTGTTATTTTGATTATTGGACCATAACTTATCTTCATTTTGGGACCCAATAGAGTTTCAAACTATTTTGTAATGACAGTTTCAACCCCCCCCAAAAAAAAGTTAGTTCTCCCTTTTCCCCAAAATTGAACTGCTTAGCTAAACAACTTGACTGAAGTAGGAGACTCAAGGGTCCCAAGAAATGCCTGAAAGGCATGGACTGGCAGAGAAAAGCTGATGATTGATTCTTAGTTCTAAATTCATTCACGGCAATGTGAGTTTCCTCTTTTAGTCTATCCTAATAAAAGTAAATAAGCACAACTTTGCCAGAATGAGGTGAATCTTGTCCACATCATGTAGAGGGTGCTTGTGAATAATGATTGAGAGGCAGATTTCCCGTCAACCATTTCTGTAAATAGAAACGGCTTCAAAATTCACTTAAATTGCTTGTAAGCATTTCCCCCCAAATAACTTGATGAAAACCAGCATGATGAAGAAAATTGGGAATTTTTGGAAAATTGAAGGCCTTTGGGGTTGTCAAGAAAACTGTGATAAGACAGTCACGTCTTTGTAATGCTGACTCCCTAAGTTTTCAGTATTAGCATGTGAATTTGCTAATACCACTTTTTAGGCCAAGTGATTTCACCACTGACAAAACAGTAAAGACACAGACATAATTCTTAAGCATAAGTGTGTGGTTCGAAGCAAAGAATGAAGCAGCTCAAATGGGACACTTCAGCACGGAATTCATGGAAATGATAGATGTAAAGCCATGTAACTTTACACAGTATTTCAGAACACCTACTCCTCTCTAGTAGCCCTTCTTAGTGGTGAAGAATGGGCTCTCACAAGAAAAGTGAAAGTGCTTCAAGTGTTAAGGTTGGTTAAGAGCATTGTAATTACAACCCAGAAACAATCTAAAACACACATAACTGAAAGAAGTCACATTTCTATGGACGCTCGGTTAATTTACCCCCAAACCAATGGTCTGGATGGGAGGCTCTGCTTCAATTATGTTCAAAAGAGTTTCTGATTTTGCAGTAACAACCTTGCATGAGTCCATGCAAATCTGCATCTCAGTGGGTTTGGTTAGAATAGGGTCTGGTGATTGGGTTTTTCTAATCAGGAAGCATTTTGCATATAAATGAATACACTAGTTCTTCCTCATTAGTCTAATTCTTGGTCATACTTTTCCTCAAAGTCTTTACAGTCAGGCACATGTTCTTGCATTTGTTTATACATTTCATTTCAAGATCTCCTGGCAATGTATTTATTTGGCTTAGCTGCAACAATTGCATACCTACGGCGGCAAATGAGGGGGGACCAGGCCAGTGGTCCGTCTCAATCTTTGGTATCTCGCTGGGGTCTGGAGCCTGGGCTGCTGGGAACTTGGAAAACTTGATGATGTCTTCTGAAGATTTGCTCTGGGCTGCCAAAGCAGCTGCATCTAGGTGGGAATCAGGGGGAGCTTAGCTCTCAGTCTGCAAGGCCATGGTGGTAAAACCCCACTTACATTGTTTTCTTGCTCTCTGGCAAGTTTCCACTCCAGAAAGCTCTGGTTATCACCATTATGACTCAGTGGTGCCCAGTGACAGCTCATTTTCCTCACTTTGCATTAGAAGCAAAGCTTCATTCTACATTGGTTCTACAGCTGAAAAACCTTGTTCTGGAGTTGTGCTGTCTACTACAAGTGACATGTTAATATTTAAATGAATAAAATTAAATCAAGCAAAAAGTTAATGCCATTGAAAATTCAGTTCCTTGGTCGCACATTCCTCAGTGGTGACATGAGATTAGTGGCGACTCTACAGGACAGAGCAGCTTAGCACATTTCTGTCATCCATGGTATTCCATTAGATAATACTCCTCTGGGACAATTCAAAATTTAAATGAGTGACTTGAAATTAAAGAGCTAAGTTAGAAGCATGACACTATCATTTGACTGTAGTCGTTAATCAGAAGAGGACTGGCTGGCTTTGTATCTTTGTGGCTTCTTAGCCACAAATATACAGGTCCAGTTCATTTTAGTCCTTACACATTATAAATGTGTCCTGGAGTCCATGCAAATGGGAAAATCTACTTTCAGTTTGCAGGAATCTAAAAAAACTTATTGTTTTGTTCAAGGGTCTGCACATAGAAGTTTAAAACAACAAAAGCCAGACAAAAGCAGCAGCACTCAGAGTTCTTAAAGGTCATGTGCAGAGGCACAGTCATTGGCTCTGAGCCCCCAATCTCATCCCAGAGACCGAGCAAAACAAACCAGGTTAAATGGTCACTCCCTGAGTCTGATTTTGCAAACTAGCCTGGGATGTTACTAAACATTTCAAAATACATTATCTATGCTTTAAATAAAGCTTTCCCCCTCCCTGGGCTCACATCATTTTCAATCTGGAAATAACTGAATCTTTAGCTCCAACTCCCCATTCTTTTGGTAACCTTCTGAGTCTCGATTTCCTTGACCAAGGTCACTCTAAACAAGGGAGAAAGTCTTGGCCAGACACAGAACATTGACTCTCTGAACCTTGACCTCTCTGCTAACCTTATGAAAAAAAATTAGCTTGGAAAACACTGCATATTATATCTTCCTCTTAAAGAAGGACAAAAACATATGAAAGAGGGAGAAGCCTTGCATTATTCAAAAAGAGTCATGCCCTCATTTATATCTAGCACTTTCCAAATGTACTTGGGCACCAACAGCAAGTTTTGGTATGCCATCTATTTCTATGGCACAGAACTGCCATTCTGCAGAATGTCCTTTGGGAGGAGCTGTTCTGGTTCTGTTGCTCTTAATTACAACAGACAGAAGGAAAGTCAAATCAAAGTTAATTTCAGGGAAAAAAGCCAATTCACCCCTTCCAACTAAACAATGCAAAATTAGCAACCTTAAATCTTAATTATTTGATGATTTTTGCTCAGAGAGACAGGGCCTAGAGATTTTTGTATTAATAAAAGTCTCTGAATTGATAAATCTTGGGAATCTTAAGAAAAGCATGACTTCAAACAGTACTTACGCATTAGAATTGATGAAGTCAGTAAACATTCACATGTTAATGAGTGGGTGAGAAGACATTAAACCATAAAAAACAAACAAAAACAATGTTAACAAACTTAAAAAAGCAAGCGCAGTGTAAAATCTTAAAAAAAAAACAACAAAAAAAAAACTGATGAAGGAAGGAAATCATAGATCTAAAACCATACAACACAAACTCTTTTTTTTCCTCTCAACTGTTGGCCTAAAAGTTTTTCCTTGTGCATTTTCAACTTCATTTGCTTTTCATGTCATCCTAATCCTCAAGGACTCATTAATGTCAACTGGATTCGAAAGGCAGCCTTCAAATTTCCAGACACTTTTTATGTATAATTTTTTGAGGTTGCCCGAACACTAGACTTAGCTTTCTATGCATTTACAAGGATTCATGGCAGATAAAATCTACAGAGACCTAATAATGGTGAAGAAAATGTGATTTCCAGGGTTTAAAAACTCTATGTTCCCAGAAAAGGAAACACAATTATAAATGCACATTAGTGATTCTTTGCAGGAATTCCAGAGGCAAATTGGCCAAACTGACTGGTTTTCCGCAGATGAGAAAACTGAGGGACACAAGGATTGCGACCTTGACATCACACAGCCATTAAGGCCAAGAGCTGGTACAGGGCGAGGGCTTCTGTCAGCCTGAGTCCCATGGATTCCGCCTCGGGCACAGATGCCACCACAGAGGCTGATAAAAAACTGGGGAACTGGACAGTCAAGTTGATGTGGGTTGACTCCACTCTCCTAGGTGGCTGGTTTTCACTAGTCTTAACTACTACTTTCAGTAGTTTTAACTATTTACTATAAAAGGCTGGTTAAATTATTTGATGACAAAAAAGCCCAAACCACCCTGTTAGGGTGTTTGTAAATTATTGCGTGGCCAGTACTTCCCTTTTTCTCTGAATGGGATGATCTATGGTTTGATAAACTCACAAACAGACTTGAAGTTCCCCAATCGTGTTCTCCATTCAGGAAAAACCAATTTCACGATATTTGCATCGTAGGAGACCATAGAAACAGAATACCCTGGACACCCCAGTTTGACTCTCAAAAGCAGCAGCAGATTAGCCTTTCAGAGGAGAGCAAAGAGAAGGTCAGCGGACTCTGCTACTAAAAGCTACGCGGAGGAAAGCGGGTTTTACCATGCTGTTTGTAGATGGGTGGTTTTCGGTAAATGTTGATCCCTTGATCTGTGGAAATGAAAAGCAAAGGTGTGTGATTATGGGAACCGGTTCAGTGATGGGATAAACAGACCAACCAAGGGGCAAACCAAATGCAAGACTCTTGAACAAAAATAACCCAGAAAACTAATTTTTGTATTACAAAGATTGAAGTAATTGGAAGAAAAGATTACAGAAATGAATGAATTACAAAAGACAGTGATATGGAATTCTTTGTAATACATCTTAGGATATATAGAGGTGTAATTCATTCATGAGCCATTTATTTCAAATACACACTTCATTAAAAGTGGGATTAAAACAGGAAGAAACTCAAGCAGCAGAGGGCTAACAGTGGGGACAACATGGCCAGTTTGGGGGAACCCCCAAAGTGCTACCATCTAGAAATTGAGCTCTCAGTGGACACCGGTGGCTCAATTTGCTTTCAACAGATGAATGGACCAGTGGAAAACAATGTAGTAAGACAATTTAAAAGAACAAAACAAAACATAGACACACTTTATGTGCAGACTGTCTTGACGTGCTGACATGGATTTCAACAAAACCTAACATGACTAGGTCAGATTGTAAAAAAAAGAAAACGAAGCAAAATGCCAGATATTATTCACATATTTTATAGGACCCCATCTGACCAGGCTACCACTTCACTTTAACTGCAACTACTCAGGAAATTTCAAAAGATTTGTTTCTCCAGAATCTTGGGAACTGTATCTTGGTGGCGCACTCTTCAGGTGAAAAAGTTGCAAAAGTAGAACACTGGTTTTTAAGGTTCAATGAAACTTTAAAAGAGGCAGTCCTAGCTTAGCGGCATGAATTTTATTGAATTTTCCTCTGTTTTATTAGGTACACTTGGACAGCAAAAGAAAAAATGACGATAGATTCCAAATGTGTGCTAGCATTAATGTCATGAGTAATTTATTACACTACTTTGAGTAGCAAAAAGAAGCATAACAAGGAAATTCCAAAGGGAAAAATAGTATTGTGCCCTTCAATGGGAAATTTTATGTCTTTGTCAAAACTGACCTGATTTGATTCTAAATGTACAGGAAGTGACGTGCTCTGATTTTTCCAGTTTCTGGTGGCAAATGGCTCTTAGTACGGTGGCAGCAAATGCTGTGGTTACAGAGCAAAGCTTGCAGCACGCAGCACCCAGCCTAAATTGCAAGATATCTTTGTGGGCTATGGAGGTGGTGAGTTAGTTGTGCATGGCAGGGAGACCACCCCATTGAGCCAATTTGAAACTTTCCTGAAAAGAAAAGATCTCCACCCTGGAGACAAACAGGAAAAATAAACACACCCTCCAGTGATGCTGTGGTTCAATCTTTGGGATAAGAAGGTAACTAGATCCCCACTGGGATAATCAATGACATCTTAGGGGGCACTAACGCAAAGGAAAAGTTAAAATTGTAGTCCAAACAAAACAAAACAACTCGATGCCACTTTTCCTTCCCTCTCTGGCTTCCACGCTCTTCCAAAACTTTGAGGAAACTGAAGCCTTCTACATAATCTTGGCATTTCACATACACAGTTTTTGAAGGGCCCTCTTGGTCAGATCCTGCAATTTAGGGGTTGTCCACCGTGTGCATCCCAGTTGGAAGAGCATGAGGAATGGAGACGAGACAGAGGCAACGAGGCTACATTCTACACCGTGACAGGACACCGAGACATAGACCGTGTCAGCGCCTACCTGGAACATGGAAATGTTTAGGGGCCTGAGCGTAAGTTGGAGTGAGAGGGCGGCTGTCTGGCCGGTAAGGGAGAGGGGAGTTTCGGCCGCTGGACGGCTCATTGCCTCCAATGAGAAGAATGGAGAAAACAAAATGAGAAAAGGGAGAGCAATAAAGGGACAAAGCAAGCATCATAAAAATTCAAAACAACCAACTGGAAGGCAGGAACATCAAAAAGGAGAAATAAAAGAAACAAATTCAATTTATCAACTGGCTCGCGAAGGTGAAGGAAGGTTTAGTCAGAGTTGAGCTCGAGGAGAGCTGGTGAAAGCAGCGAGCAGGAAAAGGCCTCATTCCAATGGCATGCGGTGGAAGGCTGGGAGTCAGCGGCAAGCTCGTTAGATGGAAAGTCCAGTAAGAGGAATGGGGAGTCACCGATAATGATCCGGTTGTCAGATGGTTAAATCCAAGCATGTAAGGGGGAGGATATGCAAACCCAAATACAATCACTCCAGGCATGATGGCGGAGGCTGGCATTGGAATCTAGTTCTCTGAATGGAGGACTAGGTCTGCGAAGTTGTGCGGTCCCCAGACCTGCCCCTTAGCAACACGAAGTGCCTGCACTGCAGCCTGTGCTTCTGTTTCCTCACTTTTCAACACACAAGACGGAGTCAGACTCCCTTTCTACCAGGGGCTTTGGGACCACCTTGTACCTCTCTCTACCCTTCTCTTCAAAGATGAGGCTCCACCCAGTCTAACAATTGCACCAATGAAATATTTACTGAAAACCGACTGTGGTAGGGCACCGAACTATGACTGAGGATACGTAGGTGAGTGAGAGAGAATCTCTGCCCTCCGGGGCTCAGCATCTCCACCTTAGGAGATAGGCTGACGGTGCAAAAATATAATACCATGTAATTGCTTATGTGAAGGAATATGAGGAATTTTATGGGTCTGAGATGAAGGTGCCATTGATTTTTCAGGAAAGCTACAGTAAGAAGCTAGAATTAACTGGATACTGAAGAGTAAGTTCACCAAGCAGGTGGGTGGGTAGTGAAGTGGGAAGGCTCAGGTGCTGAAGGTGGAGCCATCACGAGGAAGGAGATGTGGAAAGGCCATGGGGTACAGGAGCAACAGGACTGGCCACTGTGGCTGGACAGCATAGTGTTCTAAAGGAGAGAATGGAGAAGAAGCTAGAAAGGCTTCGTGGGGCTTGGCTGCAAAATCCTTGGGTAACCACAGTGACCATCATTCCCTTCTGACCAAGAAAAGGGCAGGGATGAATGGAGGCTCATACAAAACTAGAAAGAGATGAGCTATTGCCCTAAATTCTCCTCTGATCCCACATCTGAGCAAACACCTATTTCAAGAATACACTGGAAGACTAAGACTATCAAAAGTTAATGAACTAGGCATATAATTCCTTTTGTTATTGAGTTGTAAGAGCTCTTGACATATTCTGTATACAAGACCCTTATCAGCCATATGATTTATAAATACTTTCTCCCATTCTGTGGGTTGTCTTGTCTACTTTCATGATCGTTGCCTTTTAAAGCCCCAAAGTTTTAAATTTGGACAAAGTCCAATTTATCTATCAATTAATGCTAATAATTTTTAACAATAAGTAAAACATTAGACCTTCAGAAAATAAGGCATGAGCCAACTGATTTTATTTTACTTTGTCTTTTATAATTGATTTTTTAAATTTTGAGTTATAATTAACATTGCATTGGTTTAAGGTTACAAGAGTAAATTTCTTGAGGTCAAAGTATCCTAAATCTGGTTAGTGAAGTATGAAAAATGTCAATTGCTGGAGTTTAAAAATAATATGTTTAATGAAGTTTGAATTTCTCCACTTCCTAAATGTGTATATTTTTAAGTTCCCAGAGCACAGATGTGTATCAAACGGTCAGTAAGAGAGGCCAAAGCTAAGATTTGAATGTTACCATCTCAATCTTAGATTTCAAGTTTTTGGTTATTGTATTATTATGCAACTGTTGTCTTTTTTCCTCAAGAGCCAGTTTAGCACCTTGCTCCCACAATATTATAATGTAAACTTTACTATTTAAGCCAGATATTAACTTCTAAAAATGATGCTGATTTATGAAAAGACTAATCTAAAAAACTTTATTTACTCTCGTTCTCTAAAAGAGAAATAATCAGTTGTCTGACAAAATGAGTATGAAAAACACAGGCAGAAGCAAGCAAGATTTGGTTTACATTTAGAGGGAATCCTGTTTTCAACCTAAGGCTGAAGTGGAACTAGATTCACTCATCTCTGCCTGCTCAGCTAGGTGTCCTGCCAAGAGCTAGTCCTAATCAATGTCTGTGAATGAATAATGTCATCTAATTAATTCTACAGCTGTTTCCTGGCCTAATGTAGTGAGCCGCTCTGTAGGGTTAAGCATCATCTTTTTCAGGCCTCATTATTAAAGGCATCAGGTGCTCATAGATAGCAATGAGACCCAACAAACTCCCTCTACGTAATTCTCCCACTAGAGTTGATCCTCAATAACCCTCATCATGATTGTGATTGCTTCGGAAGCACATTCTTCCCTGTCCTGAATCCTTCTCTCTAACCTTGCTGTACTTTTAGAATGTCAGATATTCCCGGGAAATGTTCTCGTAGGTTTCGGTCACAATATCCAATCAGATGAAACACCATTCAATTGGTTTTGATAATTATTAGCCAATGCACACACAAATATCTGCATCTGTGGGACACAGAGGTTTAAGGCTATTAGAATTAGCGTTTGCCCAAGTAACATAAATCTTTCGATCAAGAAAATGCTCTGTGGGCGGAAGTAGAAGCCCATGGCTTCTGACATGGTTGACGATGCTCAAAGGCTAGAGGACAGCTGTCTCCACCCCCAGGTGCATCCTGGATGCTGCTGTCCCCAGCTGGGTGCAGGTCTTTATTTGGCTGCATATCTCCAGCAATCACTGACCTTGCTAGTTGCTAGAAAATACTCTAACATGTTCAAGCCTTTGCAAGTAGATTTAATGCTATGGTCATTTGAAACCACTCTCAAAGCATTTTAAAACACTAGGTAAAGAGAGATTTGGTGACACAGTGGTAATTCATTCTACACAATGAGATCACAATGGGTCACTAGGGAATAAGGTCTGGGAATACGTAATGTTGCAAAGTAATAGCCCTTTAATACTAAAGGCATTTAAAAAAAAATCATGTTTTTAAAAGAAAAGTCCTAAAGATCTGGCTTCTATCTTCTCACTTACTCTTCTATAACTGATAAAACTTTTAACTCTGTCCTGAAAGGAAATGATGGATCAAAGCGCTTAAAAGTTTGTTTCTGCTTAGCTCGCGACTGTGGCCAAGTAACACTATAAGCATTGGATGAAATAAATAAAGAAGGTGTTATTATTGTTATCATAGCATCATCACATCATTTATCACTTCAGAGTTAAGATACTGTTTAAAAAGTGTAGGTTTTGATATATCATGTAATAGTTTATATCATACTCATAGCCACTTTGTTACTTTAAGTAAGTCCTCATATTAGTTCACTTCAAGCTATTAGTGACCTAGCTGTGTGGTGAGACGCTACTATCCATATACACAGATGACCTTGGATGACATGAGTTTGAACTAAAAGGGCCCACGTGTATGGCAACTTTTGCTCTCCACAGATTCTGCATTCAGTCTCAACCAACCACAAATACACCATGGGTGGCTGAATCCACCACTGAACTGTGGCACTCAGGGATACAAAGAGCCAATTTTATAAGGAATTTGAGCACCCACAGATTTTTGGTATCTGTGGGGGTCCTGAAACCAACCCCCAGTGGACACTAGGGGACAACAGTAGTTACGCTCAGGGAGTAAAAAATTACATGAGCATTTTCTACTATGTGGTGGTGCTGGGGGAGGCAGGATGGGGTTTCTATGACCCTCATCCTTGAATTATTCAAGGGTCAACTATATGTTACAGTATATACATTTTATATTATATATATGTATATATATGTTGGCTTTCATTTCTAGCTCCTTCCTTGTCAGTCTAACAAGGCACATTTCTGATCCCTGGGAGAGCGGCTCCTTGCAGGTCCTCACTGTACTTAAGGAAGCATGTTAAGTCTGCCCTTGGTCCATTCTTTGTTTGGTGCACTGAGAGCCTAAGCCACAAATTTTCACCCAAGTAAAGCGAAATGGCTGTGCATGTGTCTGCTGTGGGACTTTCTTAGCTTTCTGGAGTCAGAGTCTAATTTCCTAAAGAGAAGTGACTGTTTTGAGGAGAACTTAAAATCAGCAGCACTAAAACTTCATGACAGCTCATGAGTTGCCTAAAACTGATATGAGTTCTAATTTCCTTCAGCAAGGGTCAAAAACATATTTGCCTCCTAGCTGCCCATATTTACAGCCAAACAGGGATGAGTCCTTTTAAAGAGACTTAATACGCGTAGCCCTCCTGTCTGCACATCTAATGTGTACTTGATGGACATGGGGCAGTATTTCAAAGGGGGAGGAAGAGAAACTCAGCAAACACCACACGGAGCCCCAGAGTGAAAACAGCTTTTCCAAATTTTTAAGGCATGTGCACTCGTCCAAATGCACAACAGTGACAGATTCTCAGGGATGGGGCTGCAAGGATGGTCAGAGAAGAGAAATAAATGCACAAGAGGGAATGAGATGGGCGGTATAGAAAATAGAGGGGGAACCAATCAGACGGACAGAGAGACAGACAGCCTGCGATGTGCACCTGAGCTTCACATCCATGCAGACCCTTCCAGTGTAATGAGCCTGGGGCTGGGGCCATGTGCACCAGAAATAAGGACCAGGAAGTGGACTAGGGCTGTGGTGGGGGGTGGGGTGGCTGGCTCCCTGCTTTAAGCTGTGTGTTCCAGAGATGGACATCCTACCTGAGGTATCAAGCTACCCAGCTCATATTTGTTTTAAAAACAACTCTCTTGTGATCACAACACAAGAAAATGGCCAGATGAAGAGCCATGGAGAACCCCGGGAGGCTGCTCCACTTTAGAGGGATCTGAGAGTGTTTCTCCAATGGCCTTAAGTCCCCTCTGTGTGGGCATATTCCAGGGCTGCAGAGGCCTGGGTGTAAACGCAAACAAAATAATTTTCAAAATAATGTAGGAGCCATTCCTGGGAGAATCAGTGTTTAGTCATTCAACCGTATTAGATTTTTAAAGCAATATCTTTAATATATAATTTTCCAGGCGTTATTTTGGCAAAAAGTTCATTTTATTTTAAAACTAAGCATATACTGTTATGTGCATCGCTTGCATTTTGTATGTGAAATATATAAACTATTTCATATGAACAAACTGCAGGCATAGGCCCAGTGAAAAGAAAACAGGGAACTAGTAGGCTCAGGATTAGAATGCGCCTAATAGTTGCTCGCTCAAGGCCTAATGATTTTTAAAATTAAACATAGGCTACCTGCGCAGAAAGCTTCACATTGAGACTAAGGATACGAAGAAAAAAAAAAAAAAAAAAAAAGTGTATCTACTTTTTAAATAAAGCATCATGCAGACAGCGATGCTGTCATTTGTGTGACCATTTGGTATTTCTACCAAAAAGTAAACATTTATTAATTTTGTAATTGAAATGGTTGAAAGCAGCCATTTGCCTCAGCCTCAACAAGAATGCACTCACACTGCATCTGCATGAGGGATGGGGAGGCCTGGGGTCAAGTTCAGGTGTGGCAAGTTCTAGCTGAGAGCCCTTGTCCAGTCACACACCAAAGCCTCAGCCTCCTCGCCTCCCCTCTGGGCCTACCTTTCAAGGAGGTGGTGAAGAGCCAACGCCATAATAGTCAAAATGCTTTAAGGCTGAGGACACACTGTCAAGCACCAGGCTTGCTTCTGTATTGGACCCTTCACCTCACACACACCTAGGGACCTAGCAGTGGTTTCAGATGAGGCGGGTGACACTCAAGACCTAAAGTCATCCCAAGTTTCCACAACTAGCAGTGATCGAGATAATACTCCAACCCAGGATGCCAGTGCCCTCAAAGCTGCTCACAGACAAGGAGGTGTTAGGAGTCTTGAGATTTTGTGGTATGTTATTTGCACAAACTTTGCATGACTTGACCTACAAGGCACAGGATGTTTTTCTTCTTAAAAATAGCATCTCTTGAAAGATGAAACATATAATAAGCAAACAAGGCAGCTTACCATTTAAGGAATGAAAATCTATTTTCTCTTGTGTATTAGACACAAACAAATCTCGATGTGGCCGAGGGCTTCTATATTAAAGTCTCTTTAAAATACATCTTTGAAGTATATCAGTCATTTCTTAGGATTTGCTAAACATTCTCTAAGTATCATTTTGACATCTAGGTCATCCAAGTTTTGTTCCCCCCTCCAGATACTAAATAGCAATAATTAAAAATACTCTGTCAAGAATTTTAGTAATTTAGCTGAGCCTGAATTTTGGCTGAGCCTGCTGAGAAAGACCTCCCTTTGCTGATGGTGCGTGGCATCTCCTCAGTGAGCACGTCAGCGATGGCGCTTTCCCAGCCCAGAACATGCTTAACCAGCACCCACAGAATAACTGCAGACTGCCAAGTGCAGTCCGCCTATATTTAAGGCTCAGTTGCTCAAAAATCCAAATGAGCAAAATAGAACAGCTTGGGTAGGCTGCAAATGAAAATACAATCAAATGGGACAGCATTTAGGCTACTTGATAGAAGTGTAGTGAGGGGGCCCAGGTGGGGCATGGACAGAACCTGTGAGGTCTGTTCTAAGACCCAAGCCATGGGGCTGGTCTGCTACTCCCTCCAGCTATTTTCATTGGTTCATTTGGTTGGAATCAAGAGCATGGAAAAACCAAGCAGCCTGCTAGGAGCTCATATGTATTTTCCACTAAGACCCCTTCATAATACCCTTTGGGGTTCTTGTCTCCCCTAACTTGTGGAAGACTTCTACAGAAGCAGAAGGGACAGCGAGGAAGACAAAGGTGTGCATTAAGGGAATGGGGCAGAAACATGGGGGCAGGAACAGAACAACAAGGCCAAGGCCCTGTTCTCCACCATGCAGAAATCGGGACAAATCAAAAGCACGTTGCTCCAAGGGGTGGCTCAGAGAGAGAAACTGAAGTGGAGTCGCCCTAAATCTTTCGATAGAGCCCAAATGTTTCAGTATTGTCAAGAGGTTTTATTGCCATTCAGACAACTTTGGATATTTGTTGCTAAGTATTTGGCTCGGCTGAGACAGATCACAGATGAAAACCAGGAAAATATCCTGATGATATATTATATTTTGCTTTTGACACAGAGAAAAACAAAATGATAATATATATTGTTCTAAGCAGTTGATAGTACATCTTACATCTTGAGCAGACTTCCTGCTTCTGCATCTAGAGTCCTTAGAAATGACACACTTCTCCCAGCGAGAGAGGCCATGCCAGTTCTAAGATGTTTTCGGGGCAGCCATCACGAGCAGGCATGCGGAGAGGGGGGCGCTCGGAGCTATCTCTTGGAGATACACCTTATTAGCTTTCCCGGGGTGCTAATAAATCTCCGCTGTGCAGGGTGCCGCCTGGAGAAGGCTGCCTCCTTACCTTTGATATGGGGGATGAAGTGGTGTCGGAAGGGGGAGTTGGGGCGGGAGTCGCTGTGGGTGGAGCTGAGGCTGCTGGTGCGCAGGTGGGACAACCTCTGCACACCAGGAGACAGCAGCTCTGTGCGGCAAGGAGTCGGGGCAGGGCAAGGCAGAAACAGAAAAGAAGAAGAGAAATTAACACAGGAGCAGGGACAGCAGCACTGTTCCCGGGGGGAAAGGAAGGAAGCACGTTAATCGCGAGTCTGAAAAAGGAGGAAGGAAAACGGATTAAGAAGGCACCTGCTGCGGTTAAGGCGAGGTGGGGAGAACTGGCACAGAGTTCGGGTTGGCAGAGTCTCTGTGAGAATAAATGGCTTTCGTGAGAGGGAGGGTCACCGGGACAATCGCTCAGAGGACAGTGGCTGCCGCTGAGCCAGAACCTGGGGGACCGTTTGACTCAAAAAGAGCTGTTTTTACGAAGCACCTCACAAAACACAGCCCTTTGAAACAAGTGAAAACAAAAAGACGATTTCAAGAACCTTGAAAAGTACTTATATGTAAGGGTCAGATTCATTTTGTAAGCTGTAAACGTCTCCCACTGGAAGCTTAACTGTATTTTGCCTACATAAGAGGAACCCCTTTTTGTGGCCCCAGGTGGTGACCCTGAGAATCACAGAGCATCAGGACTGGGAACAGGAAGCCTGGTTCTCCTGGGAGAAGAACGGAACCTCAGGACTAAACCCAGACCTAGAGGATTTACCACCTGGCACCTGGAATGAGGGAGTTAGAGGTAGTTTATCCTGCCCACGACCATGCTATCAGAGCCCCACTACCTTCCCAAGGGTAACCCTTGAGAAAATAACACCAAGCCCCAACAATTAATTGGCAGGGGGCAGAGCCACCAGCACTGGGAAAGGAGAAGAAGCACTCAAAACGGACAATGTTCTAAAGGCAGTGGCGTCGGGACCACGGTTGGCACAGATGGAAATTTCTCGTGCTGAGTACAGCCTCACCTTCCAGGGATCCGAGTCCTTGACCGGCCCTTCCCTCACTTATTCAGGAATCTCAGCAACAACAATTTCCCCAAACCTATGTCACTATGGCAAGATCACACTTGGGTGTCTCGGTGACCTCAGCGCATGCCATTTTCAGGGGTGGCAGCCAATTGGGTTTCTTGTCACCCAGGTAGACAAGGGCTTAAATCTAGACCCAGGTCCTGGGCATGAATAAAATGAGTAGAGATGTGCACAAGAAGGAATACATCTCCTGAAAATTCTCATTTAATGGAACTCAGCAAACACTGAGTAAATACGTGGAGCCCAGGGGAAATAATACACAGTTGAAGGATCAAGTAGGACAAACTGAATCCGCTAGAAGCATTGAATCTATGGTTTTCAAGAAGACTGAAGCCATTTTACATTCTGTCATTTCCTCTGGTTTCGTTTTATAAATGTAAGTGAGCATAGGGATGGGTTTGTTCTCATCAGCCTATGCAGAAGGAAGACGCTTAAAATGAAGTCTTCATAGACGTGTACCCTCACCACCAAGTTTGTCTAGAAGGCCAAGGTCTTCCTTTCTAATCTGTTTCTCAGGAAATGCTAGCTCTTTGTTGGGCTCTCCATTCTGTTCCGACTTCACATGCAAGGTAATTAATAATAATAATAATAAATAATAATAAATAAAGGACCCAAATTCTGAGTGGCAGAAACACACTGCTATTTGATATTCTCTACCACAGTACATTGCTGGTGTTTTTGTTTCCAAGTCTGATTCCAAATATAAGGGTTGGAAGGAATACTGAACTTGATCAAATACAACCCTGAGGCTGAATCCAGTGCTTCCTTCTAGAAGGTTCAACCAAGCAAGGTTAGTAACCCCATGTACCTGGGTAAGGGAATCACATTAAACACATCCACACAGGGTTAATACCTGAAAAGCAGAACAAAATATTTTCTTGGCGATCTTAAGCCCAAAAGTGATGAGATTTTTCAAGTCTAAGACAAAAAGTCTCCCTTATTTCTAGTTGTCTACTGTCAAGTTTACTTCATCGATCACAATGAGCTGTAACAATAAAGTGACTTGTTTCAACAAAAGCATCACACAAAATATATTTGGATATGAATTTTTTTCCTTCCCTGTGAGCAGGGTGGATATATCTGGCAGCCAGTTACCAGCGTGGGGTAAACGCCACAGAAACACAGAGCATTGTGTAAAGTAAACCCCAGGAACAGCTGTCCTTACCGGGTCTGTGAAAATGCTGGGGCGACCGAGATGTGGTCGGAGTGTAGCTGTGGCGACTGTACACGGGGGAGTTGATGGAGCCCTGGCTCGTGGACCGGTGGATCATCCGGTCCCGAACATCCTGGTAGCCCTGGAAACAAAGGGCGAGAAAGTGTGAGTGCAGGAGACCCTTCAGGCTGTCGTCATGTTCAAGCCAAGGCAAGTCCCAGCAGAGTCACCAAGGAACTATAATGTCTACTTGCTCATTTTCCTAAAACATGTATGCAAATGAGCACTCCGTGGTTAATGCACTTTCTTCCAAAGCTGCAGTACCCACATGTACCCCAATTTGAAGAAATACAAGTGATGTAATGGACTTTGTCGGAGGATTATGGGTGCTCTGGTGGTGGGTGTGGTGTGGTAACACACATTTGAAGAGGTAAAAACCCGTATCCTAAAACATGTACAGTGTTGTAAACCCATGTTCCCTTACTTAAAAAAAAATAAAAATTATGAATTGCAGTGTTGACAGAGCTCTGGGCAAAGAGGGAGTCATTCCAATGACCACATTTACACTGTGCATGTCAGTTGCACAGAGGGCATTTATGGGTTCATCGGATCTGTCTAATAAGGTGGAATGTCTCAGAAGGTTCCAAGCAGGTAAGAGACCAGGACAGATGGGGCCCTTTCAGAACCAGCCTCTTGACTCTATTCTGCTCCTGTGTTCTGCTTACCAACCCTTAGAGTCCATAACATTGATCTGGTAGCATTTTAAATTGATTCTCTGGGAGGACAAGCAGGTAGAGGCCTCAAATCTAGTAATTCTACCGGCCACTTAGGGAAATATATTCCAAGGAAATGATTAAAAAAAGGGTCTTAAAATGAAAAAAGTTTATATTTTTATAATGATAATATTTATTATATCACCATTCATAAAGGTAAAACTTTCTATTAAGTACCTTTACACACTGGGGAACAATTAAGTAAATTATAGCATATCCTTTCAATAGCACCATTAGTATGTGCAAATCTAGGAATGAATATATTAGGTATTAAGTGTCAAAAAAAAGGACACACACAAATATAATATAAAACTGCTAAGAGAACTGAAAGAATGTTTTACATTTTAGGAATCTGGTGTCCTAGGAAGCTTGTACTAATACAACAGAGTAACTTTAAAATGAATGAAAATGACTAAATTAAGACCCAGGTAACCAAAACTGTGAAATTTGAGAGCAAATGACAAAGGAACTTTGGGTTGATTCCAGTGGATTATAACAATAAATTAAATAAAAGCCACAAAATAAAAAGTTCCCACATGATGTGCTTCATCCTTTCAACTGGTAAGTAATAGTTGATTCTTCATAACTTCAGATGTTATTATCAGAATAATAGAAATTAATTTACTGCACTCAATCATAAACCATCAGAATACTATAGTTTTTATTATCTCATAGTGGTTGCCTAAGCTCAGTCCAGGTTATGGAAAATATATAGAAAGTGGCTTGGCTTTAAGATGAGACTCTGATTCTATTTATACCATTTTTTTTGTAGATGGAGTAGCCCCACCTGCTGAGGGCTGGTTCATTGGTTCACTGGATACATAAAGAAATACAAAATAAAAAGTGTGCCAGACCCCCAGTGGCCTGAGTACTGGTCTCTGTAAGCACTGAAATGAGTGTGCCCAGCCCAACCTTGATGCTGGCCAGGCTTGAAACTGTCCTCTGAGCGTCAGACTCCCAGCCTCAAATCTGCCCCCTGTCTCCGAAGGGAAAAGTTATTCAGGGACAACAGAAAGTGCCTCTAAGGCCTCTCTGGTTGAATATTAGGTAGTGGGGGAATGGGGATGAGGGGTGACCCAGAAACTTGTGAAGCCAGAGCAGAGCGAAGGAGCTGTTCATTGTATAGACTGGGAGCATCAGAACCTTCACTCCGCTGGATTGTGACGATGGGTGATGTAGGGGCTGCATCTTGATCCCAATGCTGCAGGCTGGGGAGAGCAGACTGGGTACACGCAGGACCCCAGCTCACGATGGAGCGGTCACATGCAGGTACTTGATCCACACACATAGAGACAGTTATTCCCCAGGGAACCTCCCGGAGACCTGGATAAAAGCCACTGCACGTTCTGTTTACCCTGACTAGGAGGGGCCTGACATAAATATGAATCTTCTGGAATATGCTCGGGCACTGTGGGCCATTTCTTTTAATCCAGAATATCAGGGTTCTGATGAACTCATTCCTGATGAGGGGAGAGAGTCCTGCCTCAGGACAAGTAGCTTCATACCCTGTGAACACTTCTTACCACTGAAGGCATAGGCTCAGACTATGAGAGGCTATTTTTTATGTCCTCGTCTCCATCTAGAAAGAGATGTCCTCCTATAAACTCACCAGTCCTGTCTCACATATGAGGAAGCTCCACATTCACCAGGATCAGGAGCTCAGCTCTTCTCTTGTCTGCATTTAATGTCCTTTTTCAAATGTCCCAGTCTAGGAAAGGTCTAAGCAGCTCCCAGATTCTACCCATTATAATTTTCAAAAGTAATACTTACTTCTGCTGATGGAGTTGGAGACAAAGTCCTTGGGGACTGGAAGAATAAAAGAGAATTTAAAGTCAAAACATTTATTAAGTCTTTCTCAGTGTGAAGAGTTAATATCAGAATCATCTGGAAACATTATTCAAAATGTACATGTCAGCACCCTTGCTGGTCCCTCCTCTTCTGATCCACTGGGTCAAAGGTGGGGCCCAAGCAGGCATGCTTTGACCTAGGTTCCTGTGAGGCGGTGGCCCTCATCTCTGCCTAAGAACCAGGGTGTGGAAAATAGGTTGCAATACTTCGGGTGACTAAGCCAAACAAACTAGAGCCATTTCTGCCCTATGCTCAAACTATGCTCACTGAAACTGTGAGTTACAGTGTCGACTGAGATACAGAATTTTACAAACAAGGCTGTCAACTAAACTATACTCACAGCAATTACCAGGAAAAGTTGGACGATGGAAACAGAACTGATCACCAGGCTTGTAGCTTCCTATCCTTGCCAACCTCACTCCCATTCTGGCTTCTGTCCTTTCAGGCAAACAGGCTTCCTTGGAGGCCGTTGACAGTCCAAGCCCTCTCTCACCTCAGGGCCTTTGCACATGCTCTCCTGTAACAGCGCTTTGCACTTAGACACCTGCAAGGCTTGTATGCTTCTACAGGGAGGTCTCTGCTGCAAAGTACTGTCCACAGTGCCTTCAGTGACCCTCCTATTTAAAGCAGCCAGTCAGCTCAGCCATGTTTTCTCCTTGCTCTGTTCATAGCACTACCCCCCTGTAAAGTTCTGTTACATATCTGCTGTTCCTCTGTCTCCCACTGCACACTGCAAACTCTGTGAGAGCAAGGACTCCATTCTTTTACAAGTATCCCCAGGAACAAGAACAGCTCCTGGCACATAGTAAGCACGCAACAAATATTTTCTAAGTGAAGTTGAAATGTTCACAATTAAAATGCAAAAAGCCTTCAAAGAGGAACAAAGTGCAATCCAATCTTTGAAAACCATGGTCAGTGCTGGGTATGACAGCAGCCAGCGTCGGGTGGGGTACTTACTATGTGTCAGTTACTGGTCTAAGTACCTTATTTAATCCTTGCATTATCTTGAGCCTACAGATAAAGAGTCTGGATGATATAAATTTCCTAAAGTCAGTTAATTTCAGTCTGGTTCGGTTCCAAACCCAGAAATGTTTATTTCAAAGCCCAAACTCTGAGTAATTGATGTTTTATTGCCCTGAATGGAGTCCCTGGGACACCTGCATGTACCTCCAAACCAGAACACTGTAAACTGAGGCACCCCCCACACACCCCAGCTTGTGTGGCTTGGACACTAGGAAATTTTTAGTCACTTGTTCCAGGACCTGGCCCTGTATACATTGCCTTTACCCCCAGTGAAGCTCTCCAGGGCCAAAGGGCAACCAAACTCCCAAGGCCAACTGACCAGCACTGGGGAAAAGCCATAAGATGCAGTGATGGCCATGTGACCACTAGGTGGCACTACATGAAAACAGACATCACTTCTTGCCCACGGACTGTTTTAATGCAGAGCTGTGCTCTGGAATAAAACCCAGATTAGAAAATACATATAAAGAACAATGTATATTATAATTGCTAATAAACATATATGCATATGCCATGTAACAGCAAAGTAAAGAGAATCACCAAGACTTCATGTCTTTTCATCTAAGATCTCAAAGCATGGTGTGATGTTACAGGTGGTCTGTCTTAATCTCAGTTGAATGACTGATTTCCATCCACTATTTGGTAACGTGTCTAAGAGTGGATTCAAATCAGTCTGTAGATGATTGAGATTCCAATTTTAAAACAAAAAAACAATTTAGAGTGAGTTGAATAGGGCAAGAAATCAGACCAGAGCTTGGGAGACCTGGGCAGAGGTGACAGCAGGGAATCCACTGACCCTGGACCTTGGAGGTAGGAGAATGTCAGTGAGCCACAAGAGGACAGGTAAAAACAACAGCAGGAGGACACCATTTGCTAAACAGTTAACACGAGTCCGCCCCTCCGCCAATACTGGGCTCATGTATTTAATCCTCACTAACACCCCCTGAAGTAGATTCTCTGTTTTACAGATGAGAAAACGAGAAGCAGAATGGTTGTCAACTGGCCAGTCATACAAGCAGCATGTGCAGTCTCTGGGCTGAGTCAGGCAATTTTACTCAAGCCCTGGCTCACACGACCACCCTGTGCTCTAGCCCCAAGCTCTATTTTTTTCTTGCACAGTCTATCTCAAGATGCTGAAAACTGCAGCTGTTAAAGATCAGGGTGTATGCTTTCTCCCCTTATGCTCCCCATGAATACACTCCCAGTTTTCCCAAAGACAGGATTCACCCTCTCTTTTCCCTCTACTGAGAACACAGAATTTCCTTAGACAACTTCGGCTTCCCTCCCAACGTGTGGCTCTCCATCCCACAACCCAGCACAAACTCTTACTCATCCTGCAATATTTCCTGAGTGGTTGGTCTGTTTTCCCACCTCTCTGTGCCTTCCGGAGGGCAGGGATGGTGAGATAGGTTTTTGAATACTTGGAAGCACCTGCTATGGAGGCCTGCAATTGCAGGTAATCAGCAGAGCCTCTGGCTTATTTTGATGCCAATCAGTTCTTGTACATGTGGCAAAAGAGAAGGTAGTTTGTCATGTAACTTACAACATGCAGGAATTATTACCTCTCCCAGGCTCTGCCTCTCCTGTTTGTCATCGTAGCCCGAAGAGTAGAAAGGTTCATAGGTAATAAGATCGGGACGTTCAATGTCATAAATTGCCTTGACCTTAGGAATGGCTGCTAAATCCTTGTAATCCAGGATTTCATTGTCCACTCTTGCCTGACAAAGTTAGATAGAAAGAAAAATTACTCTGCGGATCCAGTCAAAAAATGGGCAGAAGAGCTAAAAAGAAACTTCTCTGAAGAGGAAATGCAAATGGCCAACAGGCATATGAAAAATGTTCAACATCACTTGTAATCAGGGAAATGCAAATCAAAACTACCATGAGATACCATCTTACACCAGTGAGAATGGCACATATTAAAAAAACTAGCAACAACAAATGTTGGCGAGGGTGTGGAGAAAAAGGAACTCTTCTGCACTGTTGGTGGGAGTGCAAACTGGTCCAACCACTGTGGAGAGCTGTGTGGAGATTTCTGGACCTACTAAACATAGAGCTTCCATATGATCCAGCAATTCCACTCCTAGGTATTTACCCAAAGGACACAGAAACATCAATTCCAAAGAACACCTGCACCCCTATGTTTATAGCAGCACTGTTTATAATAGCTAAGCTTTGGAAACAGCCCAAATGCCCAAAAATAGATGACTGGATCAAGAAGATATGGTACATATATACCATGGAATATTACTCAGCATTCAAAAAAGATAAACACATGCAATTTGCAGCAACATGGATGGCGCTGGAAGGGATCATGCTCAGCGAAATAAGCCAGAAAGAAAAAAAAAAATACCGGATGGTCTCACTCATAGCAGGAATCTAGAAAACTTAAATAAGGGACCAGGAAAATGAATAACTATAAGAAAGTGAAAATCAAAATCAACAAAAAACTATGAACCAGAGACACTTTTAGGGGGGCGGGGGCGGGAGGGGAGGGATTGGGGTCAGAATGGGGGGGCTGCAATTGTATGGGGAATATAAAAATAAAATTATTTAAAAAAAAAAAAAGATCTTAGAAAAATTTTACACTCCATGAACCCTCATCAGCTAGACAAAGATTTCAAAAGGGTGGCTTATATGTTAAACAATAGAGAGTCTTAAATTCTTAAGGATATTGTCCCATCCTTAAGCAGTTTTTCAGAGGGCCACAGTCAGGGAAGAGCCTATCTCAAAAAGAGTTGTGGATGTGACTTTCATCCAACAGAAAAGATTATAGTTTAATACGCAGAAATCCCAGATGTGTTTAAAGGAATCATATCACCTTAGACTCAAAGTTAGTATCAAGAAAGGCATTAATTTACTCATCTGTTATTGGACTCTTACAATCTGACTATTGTCAACAGTGCTACAATAAAAATAGGAGTGCGTGTAAAAAAAAAAAATTACTCTGCGGTCTCATTTCTTTGGGGAACTACAATTAGTACATTTCATGTCTTGCTTAAAAAGTGATGACCTTAAAAATAAACAAAATCCAAGACACCTTGCTCAGCATGGTCATGTTCCTTAAAAAGTTGCCTATTTTTAGAAAAGACACCAAAGGATCAGGAATAAGTCTATACAGAATTCATCAAGCACAAAGCTTTGTGAATCATCAGGATAATTTCTGAAACTGATTACAGGAAAGCAAAAGCTCAAACAGATGATGAAAAAGTTTCTCAGATAGCTAAATACAAGAATTGCATAGTTAAGAAACTAAATATTTATTATCTTTGTAGGAGAATTTAAGAGCCCTGAGTAACAGCATTATAAAATAAATAATTAATCCCCAGACATCTATATGTGAGCAATGTGCAACATTATTTTTGCACGTTACTGCAATTTATAGGTTATTGATCCCACCACTGATGGGGGAATCCACGAAGAAATTTAATTATCTGCAAGGAAACATGATTAAGAAGGCTGATCTGTGAAAACGAAAATGGGATCTCATGACAGAAACAGAAATCCGTTTGAATTAGCTTCTGTTTTGGATTATCTGCTCCATGACACTGTATGTCCCGAAGTCAGTACTTACATAGATCGTGTGACCAGGGGAGCCAGGGATGCTGGAGCCTGGTCTGGAATAAATGCTCTCGGAGGATGTCCTGGTTGGCTGGAAAATAAAGAGTGACTTGTGAGATTTCAGATGAGGGCTTCAAAATCAAGACTGGCCAATTTACTAAAAACTGAGTGGTTAAAAAGGGAAAGATGTGACTTTTATGAATGAGAGTAAATATAATCTAAAAGGAAAGGTGAACAAGAACTCGTGTCCTCAGTCTCAGAAATGCACTGGGGGACCTTTCTTTTTAGCTTCTCTTCCTTGTCTCCTATAAGACTTTCTGGCTTGCCCTTTAAGTGCATTTCTCTCCATCTGTTCATTTCTCTCCATCTCCCCTGCCATAATCCTGGCATGGCCCTCACTTTGCACTTCTGGGGTACAGCTGGGAGTCTCCTCATGTCAGCTTCCTGCCTTCACTCCTGGCTTTTTAAAACCAATTGGGTGCCCAGTTGCCAGAGAGATCTTTTAAGAACACAATTGGGTGGTTGCTGTCCTGTTTTGGCTTCAGGGTTGTCTTAGAATAAAAATACAACTAGAACTTCCGGGTCATTGTCACTGCCTTCTTGGTGTCCATCACCTATGACCCATCATCACTCACAGAACACGGCACACAGCCCTGCCTCAGGGTTCTTACCCTTGCTGCTCCATCTACCTGAAATGATCTGATTCCCAATTTTACCTGGCTGGTTCTTTTCCTCCTTAGCCTTGGCTGAAATGATACCTCCTCAAAGAAAACATCCTTGATCTTTCAGTGCAGTGTTGGTACCCCTTAATTCCTTACATCGTGTTATTTCTACTTTTTCCTTCATGAATAAAATTTTTAAGTTCATTTTTTGGAATTATATCATGTCCATATCCCTCTTTAACTTTAGTTTCTCTGCCCTGAGAGGCTTCATGTTTTCACCAGTGTACATGGCCACTGTTTTTGCAAGGTACATAGAATGCATCAACAGGTGTTGAGGAAATGAGTTAGAATTATTATTCATGAACAAATACTCCATCTGCCTCATGTTAGTGGCACAAGTTGAGCGTCTAAGTACACAGAAACCCTGAAGGTTAGTGCTTGGCAGCTGGAAAAGATGAAATTTTATAATAAATGTGTGGAGATCCTGAGAGAGGGTGGTGGACACATGAGCAGGAAGGGAATGTGGAAACTAGGGCTAACTGCCTCCTGCCTCTGCTGGGCACCATCTAGAAAGTTCTCCAAAGAAAACCAAAGACCTAGTCTTGGAAAACTTGCTCCTTCTATGCAGCTATTTCTGGGAGTATCTAATTTAGATCTTTTCTTTTTCAGTACTCGTTTCTACGGATACTTGGCAAGCAGAATATGAGTGTAACTGAGCCTACAGAACCCCAAAAGACACAGACACTGCCTCTCAGGCCCCTAGCTGAGCATGTCCAAGCTTGCTCTCATTTGACCTTCTCAAGAGCCCACTAGCAGGTGCTGTTCTCACCCATTTTATAGTGGAGAATGAAGTGCCCAACTCCCAACCACATGGATAGGATTTGAAGTGAGGCGGCCTAGAAGCAGAACCCAAGTTCTTAACCCCTTCACTAAATTCTTGCCTATATTGTAAGGTCAGTATGACCATCTAGTCCCATCATCGGTTCCATGGGATAAATGATGCAAAAACAATATTGAGATCCACCACAGATATAAGTGCCTGCTGACTCGAAATATTTTTATGGCCACCAGCTTTTCAAGAATCCTGAATTGGCTCACTGTGTTGGGGGGTGGGGGACATTAGCGGCAGGAAGGGGTAAAAACTGGAGAGTCTGATGGCTTCACATACTGACCGGCATTGTCATGGCAAAGGTCTGTTCCCATGAACAAGCATCGAGGACATCGTGAGGGTAGCCCAAGTGCACAATGAGTTTTGGGGACCCCTTGCCTACGTTACTTATTCTGAATTTTGCCAAATGTGTGTCAGGGGTCCTCTCTTCCTTTCCTGTATAATGCACCTGGGATGGCTGGCTGTCTTGTGTGCTGCACGGCTGCTTGCAGAGAGCTGGAGAAGAGCAGAGTCCGCAATGGGCTCTTCAACTTCCCCATTTCCAGGGAGGAAGGTTTCTCAGTCACCCAGCCTGGCTCAAGTTCAGTGTCACCTGGCCGTCTTCATCACTGGATTAAGGCCCAGAGAACTGTGCAGGATTTCTCTGAAGTATTTACCTCATTCATGTGCACTATTAATATTGTAGGGCTACAGGTGTTTAGGGTTAACCGAGACTGACTTTTTATCAAGTCCCATTGGATCTTTAAAGATATCAAATCTGAATCATCTCTATTTTGCATACACCTTCTCCAGGTTCTCTGCAAAATAATTTAGATTTTTATAGTCAGAGAGTTTTTAACGTAGTATTGGCTGCTCATCAAATCCACCAATGTTTTGGTTCTTAGAGAGGCCACTTCTAAACGCACCTTCAGATTCTCTAGCAGTACATCAGAAATGCTCAGGGTGTCTTCTGGAAACTAAGAAAAAACTTTTTTCTATTGCATTATCATTGCTTCATTCTGGCCTCCAGGTGGTACTGCAGAATTTACTTCCACTGATGCCTTGTTTATGGGTCACTTACATTCTTGCTGGCCTGTTTCCTTACAATGGCCCTTTGTTTTCCTATCTAAAATGAAATGTGATAAAACACAACCATGTATTGTATAACATAGTGGGGTGACAAGTGGTTCAAATCCTGGGTCTACACGTTGTGACATTACATGAGTTCTCCTTCTTCTTTTCCCTCCTCCCCACCTTTTAACTCCCGTGGGCTTCAACTTTTCCACTTGCAGAAGGGAGGAGAGGCCACTGACTACCTTCCTTCTCAGGGAGGAAACAATACACAAAAGCTTCAGTCACCTTGCCTGGCGCATGGTAAGTCCTCAACATTTTCTGGATAGTCACCATATAAGATTTCTCAGCCAGTGAATCTCCAAGCATAAAGTGCAGCACCACCCCTGCTTGCTCCTCATGTTGGGGTAGTACTCCCAAACGTGACACTGTAACCCTGGAATTCTTACAGCTACCACACTGGGGATCTTTCCCATCGGAACTCAGATACCAAAGTAAATTATCCCAGCAAGGGGCTGCCATTCACCTGCAGGTGACGTGTACCTCTTGAGAACACTGTGATGTGATTCTGCGTCCTCCCCGAGATGGTAACTACAGCTTAGGTTTCAGCTTTCATCATCCGTGACTTTCCACACATAGTGCCAAAGGCTGGCATAAGCCTGTCCTATCTGCCAGGACAGTTCCTGGTTTGCTGACTCTTGACCTGTCCCCAAGGCTCAAAGGGCACAAATGGATTACTTGCTTTTAGCCACAGGCCACAATGACTCCAAGAGCTTTTTGGCTCTACTGTTGGAGGTCAGAAGTCTCTGCCTTACAAAGATCATAAAATGACTTTTTAAGGTTAAACTATTACTTTTGGAGTTTTAATCTTAAATATTCATAATTTTATATTATCATTCTAAACTGGTTGCGCCTTAAATGAACACCTTCTTTATTACTAAAAGAACCCCTTTTTAATCTTCTAGCTGTATTTTTGCCCCTAATTAACACACCACTTGCTGAGGGTCTCCAGCATGGCGGCTCAATCCACTCAAACCAAAACTCATCTTAACCTCAAAAGCAACTTGTACTTATATGTTTTCCCTTTCAAATCCCACAGACAATTTATTCTTTACCTCTAACTAACTGTATTTACCATTAACTTAACACCATTGGGCTATTTCAAAGTTTACAGAGAATCCATATTCCCACAGATGAACCTTGTGTACAATTATTTAACCTAAATAACCTTTCCAGTCCATTCAGATATCCAGTTTAACAACAGGGGCCCAGTAATTATGAACTGAATTCAATAACCCAATGGGTCAGCAGCTTGTTTCTAGAATTCTCTGAGACTTCTGATGAACATCACTCTCTTGCCTACATACCAATGAAGATAATTGCAAATATTTATCCCCACAGGTTTGCCCACAAGCACCTGTGATTAAACTGCTAAAAGCAGATGCAATTTACTCACTTTCCTTTAAACCCCTTTTCCTCTACACCTTGCAGAAAAAACATTTTGAAAGGACAGTTGGAAAAATGCAATTCTTTCTTTTTTTGATATCTTTGCCCCCCCGCCCCCCACCAAAAGGCGGGGTGGAGAAAGCAAGACAGGGAGGGATAATAAACTGAGATCTCCCAAAGAGTTTTGCCAAGTAAGATTAAGCAAATATTCTTTATCCTGATTTTGGCAGCAAGAGGAAAAGAGCCTTCAGCAAGAACTTTCCTGTTGTCTGTGGCTATCCTCACAGAGTCCAAACAACCTACACTCACTCCCCCAGCACAACCTACATACTGACTTGTAATTTCAAAAATGTTTATATTCTTCAAGAAAAAATTCAACAGCATAGTCTTACCAGAAGACTAGTAGCTCAAGAGAAAAGAGCAAAAATGACATTGACTCCTCATCTTAGATGCTTGAAAGTATGTATCCTTGTGCTTTCTATCTAAAATCTTTTTCCAAAACACACTAACTTCTTTTCAGCCGATTTCCCCTCCATGTGGACTTTATCTGACAGTGTCCATTGGTCCTGCCATTCAGAAGGCAGCCCCCAGAATGAAAGTTACACTGAAGGATCTTATATGTTTCCACTCTGGCTCTCATCATTTTTAAATATCAACCAATTAAAAACACTTACCAGAGCTCTGCGTGAAGAGTAAGGGAAAAGACAGTTTCCATTTACTTTCAATTCTGGGCCACCACGCATGCCTGGTCCCTTAGAAGGAAAGTGCTGGAAAGCCCTCACTGGCCCCCGCCCTCCCCCCCATCAGCGGGAAGAGGGGTGCAATAACTACTTCATCTAATTTGCATTCATCCAAAGCCATGCTCTTAGAAGGAGAGAAAAACTACAGGCATCTGGTCCCCAGATCAGAAAGATCTTAGGAACATCTGGGGGCAGCTGTTGATGGGAGGTGACTGGCACCTGGACAAAGTGCTACTGAGCAGATGGTGTCTGCCTTGGGCTGTGTGGAAGCCCACTAGACAAGGTGGCCACAGCTGCAGAGGAAGGAAAATCTACGCTTTTAAAATCTATGTACGTTGAACATTCACTGCCAAGTCAAAGAGGAGTGAAATCAACTCTGGAGAAAAGAATCTGGGTTTGAATGGAAACAGGAGGAGGCCCATGGGCATACCCCTCTTCTCTGCAGAGTTTCACAAATGCCGTTGGCTTACTATAGCCAGCAGGCCGCGGTATCTTTCCAGTATAAATCCTATACAGCTTCTGATAAATTGTCAGACAAAAAGAATAAAATATTTGAAGCATGTGAAATTGGGGAATAAAGCAGTATGTATCAAGGTGACATAATAAAATGACTAGCAAAATGATTTCTTTGTTTGGATATACAAAAAGCCTCACATGAACTCCTTTCAAAAAGTATACACACACAGTGCTTGTTTGGTGCATCACAGGTTTGCAAGTGCATATGTTATAAAAGGGGAATGTTAATTAAAAAAAAAATCTCATGTCCCTTTTGTTTGGTGGTCCATTCATGCCTCAGCCTCCCAAGGCACAATGGAGAAGCCCCTTTTAGAATGAAAGCAAATGACCCAAGCTGGATTATTACAAACTTAGTCCTGGGAATATCACGTGCTTTATTTATAAAGAAGCCCAAGAGGAATTACAAATGCTAAGCGCTGATTCTGACCTGTAGACACAATTGCCTCTTCAGAAAAAACTCTTCCAAGTAAGTGAAACTGAAATATTTGTCTTAGGCTATTCTACTTTCATTATTTCCTTTTACTTGTAATTAAAACAAGAGGGAAGGAGGAGAGACTTCAGAATATAAATAATAACATGACTTTCCTTCTGCAAATTTGATTTTCCTCCACAACCAAACAGGGCTTATTTCTGAGGCAAAGAGTTGAATGCCCCTGTAGGGACAACATTCAGGTTACCTAATAACTAAAGGAATTTGATATTATTTGTGGGAGCCAGAGAATTTAAAAGATCACAATATTTGTGAGCCTTAAGAACTGCATTACTTTGGTATTTGCAGGCTTCTAGAAGGTTCTGGTCCATGTTCCTCAACAGCAATGGGTGAAGAAAGCCTTGCCCAATCACCCCTTTGCTCTGCCAGGTGCCCAGCTGCTTAAGATGTTCTGTGATGGAGTTAAAGTTGACTTCATTAACATTTATGGCTGGGTAATGGGGAACAGATGTCCCTTTTGAATAACAAGATAGGATGAGAGAAGTTATTAAAAACAGATCTCTCTCTCAGTTCACCCACCACTTCACAAGATGCTCCCCAGCTCTTAAACTAAAGGGTCTGGAGCAAACCAAAATCACTTTACACTTGATGATAATATTTCTCTTCAAGTCATGAAAATGCATCACTTAGTTACTGTCCTAGGCAAATGAAAGAGAACACTATTCGAGCTATAAAGTATACTTTGGTGGGGAGAAAACTCCAAAAGCTACTGAGAGGTTAACTTCTTGCCAAGTAGAGGTGCTAATTCTGAGTGACACTCATTGATAGGGTGCGGCAGGAGTGCTCTTTGGCTGTTCCTCTAGATGCATGACATTATAATTTCACTGTAAGTGAAAACTCTGCCATGGGGGCTACAGCCTCCATGAAGGTCACATGACAAATACAAGTTGCTGAGTAACTAGCATCATGGACAAAGGTCGCTCAGCCAGGACAGGAATCTGTGGGTACGTCTGGCTGCTGTGACCCATAGAGGCTTGGGCTGACTTCATTCTATACTTGGAAAAACCTTGAAGGTTGATTTCGAAAAGGTTTCTTTCCACTCCCAAAGCTCTATGCTTCTAACTAGCTTTCAAATAATTTAAAGAAGGTGAAGTTTTAAAAAGTGTAGATCAAAACAAAAACCTTTCTTGGTCTCAGCGCAGGTCCGGAAGGCACAGGGAAAAGGTGTGGGCGCACAGCCCAGGGTGCGGTGGTGTAACCCTGAACCATGAGCAGAGTTATGACCTGGGTTTCATCTCAGCAAAGATGGGATTATGGAAAGTCACTTGCAATCTAGTAAACTAAGGGTTCAACTGGTTCTCAGAGAAGCTGAAGGAAGGGCAAATACCTGCTGGGACACTCTCCTGCCTCGCTGCTCACCTGAGAGCTGGCTGAGTGGTCCCCCACCTGTGCAGGATGCCCCCACAGTCTTGCATGCCATTCTATTGCTTAAACTATCAGACTTAGTCAGTGCTTAATGCTCTCCTTCGCCTCCTCCTTCTCCTCTCCAGCTTGCTCTCTTGCTGCTCCCTCATAGTACAATGGAAGGAACATGAGCTTTTAGGTTCACGGAGACCTGGATTCCAATCGTACCTTTTTCACTCACTTGTGGGGTAACCCTGGAAAGTTATTATTTTTTTTTTGTCAACATTCCCTAAGTAAATAGGTCATGCATGTTGGAAACCACAGGACCCCCATCAGTCGTCAATGTTATCACCTGGCAGTTACTGCTCACCCTCAGCCACCAGCGACTAGAGGCAGGCCCCAGGCAATGGCAGCTCTAGAAGTACAACCTCCTTGCAGCTTCTAACATCCTCTGACAACCCTACTTTAGCAACTAAGAGCCATGCCATGCAGATCTGGCACCCACCCCACCCATCTCTAGCCCTCCTTGAGTACAGAGGCCATTGTTCATCCTCACTCACAATGCAGCTCTCATGAAATGTGCTCTCCAGCACTGCAGTTTAAGTAGCACTTTCTAATGGACCACCACCTGCCGTGGGGCATGATGTGAACCCCAAAGGCAGTTTCAGGGGCACTGCCCAGTCATCTCCATCCAAAGCCTTTCAGCCTGGAATCCCTGGTCGCACAAAGAGCCCATGAGCAAGGGACCAGCCACTTGTCTGAGCTGCATCATGGTTTGGGTTCAGTGTACTGCTTCCCAGCTGCAGTCTGGAAAGTTATTTAAGTATGATGGGCCTTAGTCTCTCCATCTGCTACATGGAATAGCTTCCCCAGGAGACTTTAGAGCAAGCAAATGAGAGTGGATCTGCATCCCCAGGCTCAGCAAGAGGTGTCTGTCTCCTTCATTTCCTCCCCAGTCATGTGACTACTCCTTCCTTGAGCCACACCACTTCCCATCCAAGCCCTGCTTCCCCCAGCTCCATCCTGCTCTACGCGCTGCCTAATCAGTTCCACCATTTTCTTGCCATTACTACGTGTTCTAATTTTATCTTGCCTCCAAGGTTCAACTCAATGGCCACTTCTAGGGAGTGCTCCTTCATCTGGCACGCCAAAGAACTTGATCTCCGTGCTCCATATCCTGGGATGTGTTTTAAAATCTGCCCTTTCTCCCCTACAGGTCTAGATCTACAGCATGATAGCTGGGTGCCTGGCCAATATTTGTTCAATGAACAAATGTGTGAACACAGGATCAAAAGGGGTAGCTTCGAATGTGCTTGCTTTCATGAAGACAGCACTTTAGTAGCTGCTCTAAATGAAAACATCAATCAGAGGGGGAAAACAGCCAGGGTCAGAATGTGAGATGCACTCTGTGGGGTGAGAAAAAGCATCTACAGCTGCAGGAGCCCGAGTTATGTGGGGAAGGCAGCATAGGGAGCGAAAGCAACAAAGCCCGGGGCTGGGACAGCAGCTCCCAGCCTCAGCCTGGACACAGCGCCAACCTGCAGAAACGGAGAGCGTCCTGTGCGTCGAATCAGACTTTTGGGATAAAAGAAATCAGACGAATAATGATGCAAGTTTGGTGGCTGCGTGAGACATGGAAAAGGGAAGAATGAAGAAAGAAATAACCTCAATTCAGAAATACTATAGAAAAAAAAAGAAACAACAAATCTTAGGGAAAGCTCATAGGTGCTTAGAAGTGTGACCTTCGCTGACGTTAAGTGTGCATTTTGGGGTCCCATGGTCTGCAAGTGACAATATATTCCCTGTGTTCCAACTCCCCAGCATTGCTTTCCATTTACTCTGGCTTAGCCCTTCTATAGAAAGAAAAGTAAGAAGCCACCGAAGGCACTGAGAGCTGTTCTTAAGGGGCTGATATTACAACGCCCCACAATTTCTTAAATATCAAGAATGTGGATTACTCAGTGGGGTTGTTGAAAGATTCTTAAAACATTTTCATTTTGCTATGGTAACTGGACTAATGGGACACACAGTGAAAGGCCTGGAAATCCTGGCTTGGGATTTGTGATCTGGAGACACACCCTGAAAAACACCCAAGATTTATTCCCCTTTTCAAAACCCATTTCCTTCTAGGTCCCCCCAAAGTCAGCACATACCCCACCTGGGGCATAGCAGAACCCCTTCCCCTCCAAGGTGTGCCACTCTTCTCACTCCTGGGTATCCCACAGGTGAGGGAGTGGACAGCTGACCTGACCTCCCTAGTGGGAAATGTTGGCTTTAGGAGAAGAGCTTTGGAATTCTCTGGAAAACTTCATGAAAGGAAGAAAACAATAGCTCCTCTTGGCCAGAAAGAGTGGATGGATTTCACTAGCTGTTTTCATGAGCTTATGCAGCGTTCCCTCAAGATGTGATCAAGAGTGTCGATTTAAAAAAAATCACTTTAGCAACAGGTTCTGCAAATTCAAGGAACCCTCACAGGGAAAAGACACATTCCATTCAATATGGCCTTATTAGCATTTCTCTTGTTTCCCCAAAGACTTCAATGGGGATGAAGGAAAAATGATTATTCAAAAAACAGAGAGCAATGAAAGCAATGCTGTAAAGACAGTCCAAATTACTAACTCCTTGGGTGGTTTCTGGCTAGCAACCCCAAGCGATGCTGTGACGTTTCCATTCTTAAGATAAAGTGACTATAAGTACTATCTTCAGTGCTCCAGGATTTATAAAGATAATTTTTCAAGCATCCATGGTCCTCAAAACACCAGGGTCAAGGGCCCAGATGCAAGTGAGTGTCCCAGTATGAGGCTGTTGGTTGGTGGGCTGGGGGCTGTGCTCATTCTGGTTGAAGCTATAAGTCGAAACAGAGACCAAAACTCTAATATTGGTGGCAAATTCCTCTCTAACGTGCCTTGCGTTTTACTCAATTATTCTAGAAAAAGTGCTTTCATCCCCTCCACTTAAGCATACTCACACTAATTGTGAATTCTAGGACAAGTGCTTTTATTCAGGGTCTCAAGCAAGGGAAAATTTTCCAAACTATCCAAAGGGCAATCGGTCTCCATCTGATCTCATGGACGCCAGCGGAGGAGGAAAAAATAACAGAGCAAAGGAATAGAAGCTCCAGGGAGCACGTGGGCTTCACTGAGGGGGAAAAAAAAGGAAATGAAAGTTGTCCCTCTGGGTGGCAGGCACAGGGACCGAAAGCGGTGAGAGCAAATGGGTCCCACTGACAATCATGTCTTCAAGGTCAAGTCACCCTTCACAAATGACACGAAATTTCACCCCACTCTATATCTGGCCTCTCAGATGCATGGAGGCCATTCTTTCCCTTCAGAGACCAAGAGGAGCACCGTCAAATTCCTGTTTTTCCTTGGGTACCACTAAGTTAGCTAAATAGAGGGAGTGACAGCTGGGATCCAGTCTGATTATTGCTCTAAAATACTTCAAAACTCAGGGAAAAAACTCTTTGTTTCTGAAACAGATCAAATATTTGTCATCTGGAGGGATTCTGAGCATTGACTAAGAGCAGGAGAAGGCCTGAGAAGTGGGAGATGAGGAAGGCCTATTATTTGGGTACACAATATTCCAAAGAGCCATGAAAACACTAGCATGTCACCTAAGGGGTAAGCTAGGAAAGCATCCCGGACGCTTGTTTACACTGACACGTCTGGGCTCATCACCATCTTCCCCAAAGGTTTTGTGACAAATCATCAGTTCTTGGGGATGGAGGCTCTGGGTGAACGTGGATTGAAGAGGTCAGCCAAAGGCACCGAGTGCTGGGCAATATGCAGAGTTTGGGGTGGAGAGATGCATTAGGGACTGAGGAACGAACAGTCTGGCCAGGAGGGCACCAGATGTTGGACCAAGAAGTTGAATTGTTTTCTCACTTCTGTGGGGTTTGACTTATTCCCTTCAATGCCTTCCTTTGAACCTGACTAACGAGGCGAGACTCGCTTTATCTAACACAGGCATTGGAACAAAAACCATAATCAAAGTAAGGTAGGAGAGACCCTCCTTCCCTGGTCAAATGATCTTGCATTTTGGTTTGTTGTGGGAAAAAAGTCATGAAATAGCAGTGTCACCCAAAGTCCAGCCCCAGAATGAGCAATGATGGAACAGAGGCCCCCAAGAGTGCCTGTCATCACAGTTCTCAATGAGTGCTTACCCGGAGCTTTTCCTCAGTCTTGGTAGATTGCTTACAGTCGGGATGCCAAACGGTAGAGCCTGGAAGACATGAGACACCGCTAAGAGTAAAGGAAGTTGACAGAAGCAACAGTCCTGTCAGACAGACCTAAGACTCTTCTCACACTGCTTCCCCATCCCAAGGGAGTGTTAAAGTCCCCGCCCTAGTGGAGCTTGACAACCCCAAACTCCTGCTGAACCCTTATTGAGTCTGAGCTCGTTCTATAAAGGTCATAATTCCTGACCACAGAAACCATTAACTGGGCACAAGAGTATTTTGATTCAAGAGATATTTAGTTCTTGAATGGGTGGTGGTGTTTCTTTTAACCATATGATTATCCTTTAAAAGTAATGTCTGTGTGCTTACTACAGGCTGCATTTAATTTCAGAAATATTAGCATAAGCCATGTTTATAGAACATCAAAACAAGCAAGCAATTTAATTAGAGGAAGTAAGTCAAACTAGATCATCTCTGTCCAGAAGTGAGAGTCAGAGTCACTGAACTTTTCATTGATGAAATAAATTACTTGGTCATCCACACAGATGGGAATTGGAGATTGAAAGTTATGACACAAATCCAAAAGTTTCTGTTACTGTTCAATCTTTTAATTAACTAAAAAAAAAACACACAATGTCTTTTCTTTTAAACTAGTGAAGTTTCTATCTAAGTGTCATTTTTTTTTTTGTTCCTGGGTCAATGCCTCATTTTCTCGCATGCACGATTTTCGTGGATGGGAGACCAATATCACAACACTAAGCAAAAAGCTTATATCCAATAGAAAGCTTTTATCTTGTAAGAATCCAGTATCTGCCAATAAGATTCCATGTGCCCAGATATATGTGAGTCATTTATATGACTACAGATAAGACCTGCACGTCAGTCCTATGTTCACATGCAGGTATGTTTAAATGCATACTAAGGATTTAGTGGGCAGAAGAACCTGAAGGAGCACTTAAAACTTATGCAAATAGTTACTAAGCTGAAATCAGTGAGTAAATGATAAAAATCTAATTAAGTCTCTGAAAATTACATTTTCTACATCTCATTGTTTAAATCTTTTCTCTCTTCAAGTAGCAACCTGTTAAATCTTGCAAAATCACCAAATTAAAGTAAAATAACTTGTGAACTACTTCACACCATTGAGCTAAAATAATGCTAAGGAAAATACATTTTTTATCAGAATACCTTAATTACTTTCATTTAATTTTCATTTCTATCTAGTTTAACCAAGGCCAAAAAAGAAAATTAAAACCAAAGAAACAAAAATCAGGCAGACACAGACCCTCCAGCACCGAGACTGAGGTCACTATCAAAGCACAGGAAATCCTCTTAATGTGGAGGGGTGAGGGGTCAGGGTCAGACCCAGGAAGGTTCTGCAGAGCCAGAGACCTTGGCTGGAACAGCAGGTCCGCACAGTGTCATGTTGTTCTCCAGAGGTCAGTCCACAAAGAAGATGCCTCGGACTGAACATCAGATGCTGGGGAAGATGAAGTTGCTCATTCTTCAAGGATGTGCCAAGACAGCCGACAAGGAGGACCGAGGCCCAGGACCAGACGGAGCTTCAACAATGTGCGGAATTCAGAATGTGGCACATTTGACAATTGTTTATATGCAGCACGAATGCGCCGTGTTTGTGCACAGCTTGAAAGCCTCTTTCTATTTAGCTTCCAGAACCGTGTGAACGTGCAGAACTGCACCTAGAGCCTCTGAGTCTCCAGTCCCAGCAGACGCAGGCTGACGTGTTTTTGTTTTTGAGAGTTATAATTGACTTACTAAAATTTAAAACAAAGCCAGGAGTCCAAATGAAGACTAAATGTTCGCCATGCTGAAAATACAGTGACACCTGCCTATTGCTTCTGCAGGTGACAGCGTGCCCTTCAGGAAAGGTGTATTGTAAAGCCACAGGAAACCACAGATTCAGGTGCTTGTCATGTGGTCTTTCTTGCCTTGAAAATTCAGTGATTATTTCAGTCATAATTTTTAAGAGCGATCACGCTGAAGATGAAAGGATGTTTGGGTTATCAATTTCTCACATACCAGCATTTTGAGATGAGAATAGCCAAGGTTTTGATTAAATATTCAAGAATCATTTCTGCAGATTTTCCTTAGTTGCATAAAAACACAAATGAGGGCAAAGCAAACCATTGATTAAAAATACAGAAGGTTTCATGCAAAGAGAAAGGAAGAAACGACAAGCAAAGGCAGTCGAGACCCCGTAATTACCAAAAGGAGCAGCAAGCAATAGCTGCTATGGTTCTTGCTAATTTTACTGATAAGCCCTTGTCTGATTAATGACTCTTTTTCCAACTAAAAATAGTAAAATGCTTGCACAGCTGGTGCTGTTTGACTGGAAAAGAATCCTCTAAAATTCTCTCTGAGAAGCTTCAGAATTTTAAAGGAGATAAAAACTAGCCACAGTCACAAACTGAGAAAATTTCTCAAAATCATTCTCATTAAAAAAAAAAAGAAGAAATCTAATGACCCCTGGTAATGTGTGCTTCCTTCCCACCAGAAACTTCTCCCTATCTCTTCCTGAGACTTTGGGTGTGTTCTTCCTCATTCTCTCAATATGAGAGCTTTGTCATCTTGATGGGATGAAATAAATGTGATGCAATTCGTCAAATATGATATTTTCTTCCTCCTGAAAGCCTGGATAAAAGCAGTCTTGAAGGCCTCAAAAGAAAAAGAAAAGAAATTCCTCTCCAGGATAGCGCCTGAAGGAGAAAAGACATTGTGGGCTTCCGGGAAGCAGCATGTCCAGAACACTTTCTATCTTTTGATCTTTGTCTTCCAATTATATTCCTGGGAGGACTAGGAGAGGTCTGCTGCCCATTTTCACTCTTGCCTTACAACTCCATAGCATCGGTCCCATTCGCTCATTCCAGCAGCAACACATTCACTGGTGTACAGCCCCAGGGGCTCACTGCCAGCGCGTCAATTGCTTGGCTGATTAATACTAAGTGATGAGGTAACATTTGGCCACATTCATTTTGGATCTGGGTAGCAGCTAATGAAATGCCTCCTTCCCTAAAAACAATCAATCAAACCCACTCAGCAAGGTTTCCTTTCCCCAGGTGGGGAGAATTTATTGGACTCTTGAGTCCACCTTACCTTGAAGATACATTTCCTCTCCTTCTGTGAACATCTGGTTGCATCTGCTGCATCGTGCACAGCTGGGATGGTAATGTTTGTCACCTGCCTGCAAAAGAAGAGTAGGGACTGTTTAGTCTCCTTCTTGTCACTACTCCCACTCTATGTTGAGGACTTGGGGATCTGGAGGAAAAGGGAATCAGCTGAGGCAGGAAAAATGATTGTCTAGTTGACCAAACTTTCTATACCAACAGTCCTAGAAGCTAACGCCAACCCCATTGGAAATGGGAGACTTCAACCAAGGTTATTCTGCATTGTTGCTATTCTACCCAATATAATAAGTCAAGAAAAAGAAGTATAAAGATCACTAAAAAAAGAACTTGTGCCTGCTACGATGAGGCTGACTTGCTTCTTGGGTTTCTGGCGTCCAGTTCTTTCCTGGTTTGAGGTCCCCTGGATGGTTGACAGTATGTGCCTGAGAGGTGTCCACTCAATCTCCCAAATAGCTCTACTTCAAAAACATTAATACTTGAACTGACAGTGGGAGCTAATATTGGTTTGTCCTAAAGCAATAAAAAAAGAACCCTCACATCTAGCATGTTCTGGATTTTTTAGCTAAACAGTGTGAAAACAAAATCTACCCAGTTTATAGCAAGATAAGGAAAACCAAAGTAAAAGCCATCATCCACTGCTTTTATCTCCAAAGAAGCCCAAGTTCTCTTAGGACAATCTGTGGCTAAAGTCTTAGGTTGTTTTCTGAAAAACCCGTTGGCTGAGGTGGCTCTGCATTATTCATGGGCACATCACATCCCTAAAGATGACAGATGCCACCACAGCAGGTGTTGACTTCCCCCAAGCAAAATGTCACTGGACACAGGAGCAATTCTCTAGACAGGTGCCAAATCACATTAGAGTCACAACTGACAAAATGAAATCCTTTCATTCATAGTTTAGCAAAAAAAACCTCGCCAACTAAAAATTATCGAATATACTCTGGTTAAATAGTCTGATCAATCAACTGTGAAAACATTTCTCTTGCACTAACCATGCACAAGGAAGTGCTAAAAGCCCAAGTCAGAAGTGGCTGCAACCTGCACCTGTGTGAAATCTCAACCAGAAACCAGAGGCCAGGTACTGACTCCATTCTCACACCCTCCTGTAGAAACTACAAAAGCCACTTAGCATCCAATTTGTGCAATGTTATCAGCCACTCAAGAAAATCAAGTAGAAAAAATTGAAGTTATTTAAAAGTAGAAGCCAGGATGAAAACCTTCTTCGGAGTATCTGCCAGAAAATTCCAGAAGTGGTACTCTTGTTCACATAGCATTTTTGTTTGTTTTTTCCTGCGGGTGGAGGGGAGCTTAGGAAATGTCAACACCAAGTAGCTCTTTCTCTTAGGCCATCCAGGGTCAAACATCAGTAAAGTAGGAAGAGAGAAGCTTTCTCCAGTTCTACACTAGGTTGGCTCTGCTGGGATGTCCCAGTTACTTTGCATATTACTTTGCATATTTTCTCAAGGAAAATATAAAGGATAAAAGCTCCTTGAGAGAATCTGGTATGGTTGACAATGAAAGACACACTTCTTGGAAAGCTAGGAACAGAAAGAAGTTTCTTCACACTGACAAAGGTATCTACTATATTTAGCAGTGCAACATTAGAAGCATTCTTATTCCAGAGGAACAAGAGGAAGATGTAGACTTTGATCAAGGTTATTGCACATTGTTTCAGTTCTACCCAATGTAATAAGTCAAGAAAAAGAAATAAGTATAAAGACCACTAACAAAAGAATTCATTCAAGTAACTAGATAAAAAGGCTAACATATAAAAACCAACAGTTTTCCATTCACAAGTCAGTGTAATGAGAAAAAAGGATCCAATCTGTAATAGCGGCAAATAAATCCTTCAAAGAAAATTCTACACAAAGATAATGATAGAACTCAACTGATGGGAATGGAAGACTTAAATAGAGACATATGATATCTCAGGATGGGAAAACTAAAAGCTATAAAGAAGCCAATTTACCTAAAATGCACCCACTGGTGCAATGTATTCCTAATCAAAATATAGGAACCTCTCTATTCTCCATTACAAGTTTATTCCATGTATTTTTATGCTATTGTACAATAAGAAAATAAAGACTAAGAGGGGAAAATCTATGTCCCTCGAATTCACAATTCCTGGGATTGAGTTTTTACCCCAGTCTGTGCTAGAAAAATGACCTTGTATAAATCCCAACCTCTGAAAACCCTATTGCGAAGGAGAGATGGTGATACGGATGATGTTGTTGATAAAAGTGAATATTGTGATTATTGTGTCACCCTCTGTTCCACATATTGCATAAATATTTAGTTATTTGCTTCACAACCATCTTTAAGATAATAGCTACTATTATTCCCCACATTAGAGATGCAAAAGCCAAGTCTTGGAAAGTTTAGAAACTTGCCTGCAGTCACACAGGTAGGAATTGGTGGGGCCAGAATGCAAACGTAGACATATGACTCTGAAGCTCATGCTCTTAACTCAAGTCCCAATGACTGTACTCACCAGTCCTCAGTAAAGCACATGAGTGTATCACAGCCACACTGTGCTCCTGCAGCACAGTCAAAACCATCTCACACTGTAGCTAGCGTGAATGAGCAAATGACATTTTGAAAATGATGTGCACTTAAAATAGTAAAATTTTAAAAAAAAAGAATAATGACATGCTAACCCTTTGCATGAAGATGGGTGCAGTGCCATTCACGAGAGGGGCCTATCAGTGAGGTTCACAAAGCTCTCCGGACACCAGGCCTTTCCTCAGGACAAACACTGGAGAGTGACTGTGATACAAGAACTGTCATATAAGGTGAGGGGGATACACCAAGATCCCCATGGTAGGGCTTCGCTTTGCAAGTCACTGGCAAAAACTGTGCTAAGAAACAAAACATGATAATGCCAGGGGCGTCAGTCTTGGCCCAGGCACTTGTTCATTTCACAATGCAGAACATGCCAAGAAATTCAGCAAAGGCAGAATCCAAGAGCGGTTTCCAAGCCATTCAAGTCTGTTTTTGTAACAGAGCAAGCCTGGGAGAGGGAGGACAAGAGGGCAGGTGCCGAAGGATCAGGGGCCCTCCTTTGCATAGGTGACTCCCCCCTCCAAGTCCCCTGTTTCATTTCTCCTTACACAGATACCCATGATGGTTCACAAGCAAGCCCTGGGCACAGGACCAGGAAAAGCATCAGAGCCGAACACAGACGTGGGTCGTATGCAAAGCAACTGACACACCAAACTCAGTTAAATTAGGGTCATTTTTAGAAGAAAGAAAAATATTTTAGAACATGAGCCAAATGAAAGTGCCATTTAAGAGCAGGTAGTGAATGTACAACTCACTGTGGAGAGACTGAGACCACCTCTTCTACCCTGGGGGTCCTTACTCCCACCCCACCTCCTCCCTTTGTTTATCAATGATTGCTAACTTTTGTATTTTACTTCATCAAATTGCCTGTGAGGGAAATATCCAGTATTTATCTTTGTCCTTCTGACTTGCTTTGCTACACTAATTCCCTTGACCTTCCTCCATTTTGTGGTAAATGGCAGCTTTTGTCTTTCCTTGGGATCCAATTGTATTCCCATGTGTGGCTCTACCACCTGTTGATCCAGTGCTGTATCAGTGGGCACTCAGGTTGTTTCCATGTCCTAGTGATTGTAAATAATGCTGCAATAGGGGCCTCCCTGTAGCACAAGGGATTAAGTCGCAGCACGAAGCTCTCCACAGCCACTGCGATCCCCAGCCAGGGAGGTGACCCACATGGCGCAGCAGACCTCTTCTGTCTCAACGGCTGCTCCCTTCAGCAGTGTATCTCAGTAGATCTGCCTGTCCTGGTCCCTACTCTGTGTCTCTGTCTCTGGTGAATCCTCTCAACTATCCCTACCCTGCACCTCTGCCCTACACCCCAGCTCCTGTACGCATAAATAAATAAATCTTTTTTAAAAAGCTGCAATAATATGGTGGAGCCTATTTTTTTTTTTTGCATTGATGGCTTCAAGTTTTTTGGAAGGATGCCCAAGCGCAGGATTGCTGCATAGTAGAGCAATTCCACTATCAGTTTTTTAGGGGGATTACAAACTTTTCAAGTACTGTTGGGGGTTTGCCCTGACAGGTGACTTCATGCGTGGTGGCTGCCAGGTACCTGGCCTTACCCACACCCTGCACTCCAGGCCTGAGCACCCAGAGGAGTCTCAGGCGTTCACCAGATCTCTGTCATAGAGCTTCTCCGTCCATCCTTCTATCCTGATACAACAGAATTATCATCTTATTTTCTTCATTTTCACATATTCAAATGCCTACATTCTAGCTGGCATTAAGCTCTAAGGACAACAAACAATTTGCTTGGGTAACTGAGTTTTATGAATAACATGTTGACAGGTTCCCAGTACTAAAAATTGCTCACCTTCAATAGTTATGTAAGTTGGACTCCTGTGGTTTCTAGCACCACTTGGTTCATGTCTAAATGGAAGTATGAACTTTGACAGGCTAGATTGCCATCTGGGGAAAAACCGTCTACTATAAGGCAGAACTTAATGAAATGGATAAAATGGATGAAACCCATTGTTTGGAATAACATGGTAGTTCTCAAAATGTCCTGTAGACACAGGAAGCAGAGAAAGGGCTACAAGACTTGGACTCACAGGATTGGATATTATTTCTTAATGTTACCCATGAGACCTCCATTTCTTACTATTTACCCTCTCCAAGCCCTGGGCCCCTCATCTTTAAAATGTGAAGGGCTGAACTAGACAATGTCAAGTCCCAGTCAAGTGGAAAATTCTATCCTTCTGTGTGAAATCCCATACCTCCCAAGCTCACAGAGCAGCACAGAAAAGCAATCTGGGTAGGAATGAGGTTTAACCGGTATGTCAACAGTACCCTTGACCTAAAAGGAATTCAGTGCCCAGACTAATAAGCCCCAAGCCACAGGGTAGGCCACTGAGAGGAGAAAAAGAATAAGCTGCTAAACCTCAATTTGGAGCAGATAACCTGCTCAGCTTCTAGGTGGTTAACTGTCCTTTCCAGCTCCTCCTTACTCTCTTTTCTAGGAGTGCTTTTCTCCAAACACAAGCCCAAGGAA